AGGACAGGAAAGGACAGGAAAGGACAGGAAAGGACAGGAAAGGAAATGAAAGGACAGGAACGGAAATGACAGGAAAGGAAAGGAAATGAAAGGACAGGAAAGGAAAGGAAATGAAAGTACAGGACTGGACAGGAAAGGACAGGACAGGAAAGGAAAGGAAAGGGACAGGACAGGAAATGAAAGGAGAGGACTGGACATGAAAGGAAAGGGAAGGAAAGGAAAGAAGAGACAGACAGACAGACAGACAGACAGACAGCCAGGCAGGCAGGCAGGCAGACAGACAGACAGACAGACAGAGAGACAGACAGAGAGACAGAGAGACAGACAGAGCGACAGAGAGACAGAGAGAGAGAGAGAGAGACAGAGAGAGAGAGAGAGAGTAGAACCCCCCCTTTGAACGGAGCCAAAGAAATGGAGAAGGTGATCTCGCAGGGACCGTGAAAGCCTCCAAGGCATAGAACCTAGGTTTGTTCTACTAAGGTGCTCCCCATGTCCGCTCAGGATCAAGCCTGTGAAGCTGCGCTGGACGCAGGCCTGGAGGCGCATGAACAAGAAGGGCAAGGTGGAGGACTGGCGAGTCAAAAACCGTGGGAGTTGGGCCACCAAGTCTTGACTGTAACAGAAGAATCCTTCATTCACCTGTGCTGAAGGTGAGAAGGGAGGGGTATCTGTCTACGGCAGCCGGCATCCAAAGAGACTTGGGAAAGAAGCCACTGTGAGCCTCGTGAGGAAGGCGGCAAGAAGAGAGCTCGCAAGGCGCAGAAGTTTCAGAAGGCCATTGTGGGCACCTTGGAGTGAGAAGTCTTCAAGATCGGATCTCGGAGCAACCGTGTCAAACCCAACATCCTGTCCCCAGGACCCTGCACAGTGAATAAACGAAACCATAGGACGATCAGCCCATGCATGTCATAGGCAGTGATTCTCTTTGACAACTTATGAATTTTACGCATCCAGGGCCAAGTCTTATTAAGATCTCCTTTGCACAAGCTGCTTTTTGACGGGGTTCATGTTGACTGATCAGGAGTACTTCCCACAAGAACCGTGCCACAAGAACCTGCACCGCTGACCTGGTATTTCGTCAGAGCTTGTCATTGTACCCCAACCCTAGTCACTCTTGTGGTAGCTTTTGGGGAGGTGAGCTACTTTGCAATGATTGGTGTATATATATATATACACATAAACCGAAGAGAATGACATAGTCAGGATCAGAAGACGCAAAGCCAACATGTTTCGCAGTTTCTGATCGTCACATAGTGCGGCTCGTCCTGTCACGAACATGGAACGAGGCATGTCCTTGGATGACCTGAAGCAGAAGAAGGCTCAACGGCCGCAGCTGCGACAGGCCCGCGAGCAGGCGGCCAAAGAAGCGAAGGCCAAGCAGATGGCGGAGAAGAAGAAGACTACAGGCAGATGGCCTATAGGGGAGATGATTCTTGGGAGGTATGCCAGGGCTTGTTTATGTGAAGGCCTCCCATGCATTTCTTGGTTCCCCCAGTTCTCCCAAGAGTCTTGGAGTTTGGCTGGTAATTTGACCTGTGACCGGCTCACGCTGCAGGCAACAAGCCTGCGGTGCAGAAGGGCAAGGAGGCCAAGAGCCAGAAGCTGCCAAAGGGCGGAGGCCTAGACTGTTTTGATGTGATTTGTTTGGTTTCGATTACCTCTCAAGTCTTCAAGGACTGAAACAAAGACACGACAGTTTTGGATCACCCAGTTTTACCATGCAAGAAACGACCGGTCCTGGCACGCTCCAGCGAAGCACTGAAGGTGCACCAGCGGGTGGTTCCAAGAACTTCAAAGGAAAGAAGTGGCTTGGAGGAGTTGTATATCTCAGGCGGACTTGAAGGTACACCGCAATCGAAGAGAGCCCACTACTTGGCCTGAATCACAAGGATCCTTCGGAGTCCAGAGATGTGCGCGAATTTAGCTCCAGATGGTTCACGGCAGCATGTCGATCCACATGGTTCATGTTAGAGTGCTGAGGTGAAGGCCAACTTGGCATGCTGTGGCTGCGGAGAACCGAATGCGGGCGGAAAAGAATCTGCAGACATGCCCAGGTGTTCACAGAAGGGTCTACAGGATTGGTGGAGGTTTGCCAGTGAACCTGGAATCTAGATGGCACCACTTCCTGGCCTTGGCCACTTCCTTGCATTAGCTGCTTCATTTTAACCGTATAAGTTGTTCTGTAGAGGGCAAGGAGTACTGCAAGAGACCCAGTGTTTTGATGAAGTGAACACGACATTGTCCAAGTGGATTCGTGTATTTCATGCTTTGCCACTTCAAGAGCTGACAAATCCAGGCGAATCCAAGCCGCTGGAGGCGAGGCCGCTTTGACAAGAACCCAATGAAATAGCATTTTTGTTTTTTCGGATGTCATTTGCTTGGCAGATTTGCCACCGACAAATTTCAATTAGTCATCAACACCTACAGCTTTTAGGTTTGTGGCAGAAGCCATCAGGATTGGAGATTCCTGGTTGCTCACATTGTGCACCTCCATTTCTTTTATCCTGATCAGGCTGCGATGCCCAGTGTGTCTGGGCCCAGCCACAGTCTTTTCGACCCGGACTCTCAGGAGCTCCACGCTGATTATGCTGATGCAACGGATGGTTCAGCTGATTTGATGTCATGTTTGGATTTCATCTGGCTCGAACTAGCTGAGTATGTTACACATGTGGCCAATTAAGCCCTTTTATTTGATTCTTGCGATGCAGAAACGGTTGCGGGTTAAACTCACCTTGCCCACCCATCCCGATGCCATTCTTCCATTCTTCAATGTTCAATAGACGATTTCATCCCAACAAAAGTCCGAAGTGCTTTGCATGTAAATCGTAAGAAAAACATACAGTATCAGATTTGCAAGAACTTACCCTTGACCAACAGCTTGGGATGCCTCCCGGTGCCGAGTTTTAGTCTTGCAGGTTCTTATTACTTTTCTGCATTCTTAAGTGTCAAGCTACTCTTGTACATTTACATAGAGGCCAAAACGCCAAAGGCAGCTACTCAGCAAAATCGAAACAAAGAGGAAAGCGTGAGACTGTACACTTGCACAAACACATACGTGTCAAAACCCTAGAAGGACCTACCCAGTAACAACAAGAAATTGTATATTTTACTTCGAGTGACACCGTCGCATTCCTTTCTGGCATACATTCTGGCATTCCATTCTGGCATTCTATCTGGCATATGCTTGCATTCGATTTGGCATATATTTTGACAGTCTATTTGGCATTTTTTTGCAATTCTTATGGGCGTGGATTCTGGTAACCCACAGGGCATCTCTTGCGGCGCTCTTTCTGGATTCTACTTGGTCCGGTGCAACCTGGAGCGGGTTCAGGTCCGGTGGTGCCCACTGGTATCTAGCATTCATGGTTCAGGTCCAGCACCCTGGAGCTCGCCGCTAAGGAAGGAGGAGGAGGCGGAGAAGGAGGAGGACGCGGAGTTGACAGCTGTGATAAACCTAGCGCCTGGCAGGTGCGGAAATTACATCCTTTGAGCGTGGAAATGCGCTCGCATTAGTTTTCAACTCACTGTTGCTACCGTCATACTACCATCATGTATCAACCAACTGGTGGTTCTCGCGTGCGTGCCTTTGACAGGGGCATGAATTGCTATCGTCGTTTGCCACGTTGCCAGGGTCTCTTGAAATGTTTTGATTTTTGCTGCGCTTGACTCATGCCTATACCTGCTGGTTGTTGCACTTCAAATCTCCTGGGTTCGCTTCGGTTCTTTATCGGCACCTCTCAAACCATACATATGAATTTCCGGGTAAAGTTGGCCCGCGCGGGGCCCACAAGAAACTGAAAGGGCCGTAGACTTTATCTTAAGGAACGAGATATTTGGGCGCAATTTTTGGGCTGAAATTGTGATAGTAGTGCCGGCTGATACATATTCACGGCTTTAAGTTTTGTGAACTGGGCACCGATTGCACGCATCAAATCCAACTAGGGTGTTGCTGATGCGTGACATGGCCATGTCGCAAGTCTTCGCGGAACACTTGAGCCAGGATCGCTGTTGAAGTGGGTCCAAAACTTTCACCTGTTCGCGAACATGTAGAAACTTCCCAATAAACGGATGAACTTTCCATCCTTCGATGAGTGATGAGTGATGTGACTTGTCCGACGCCAGGAAGTCGATCCAGTCGCTGTACCCATCCCAAAGGAGGCGGGGGGGCTTGCGTGGGCATTTAAGTATACTTAAGGTAAGTTATCCAAAAAAAATCTAGGAACCAAATCAATAGTGCGAGGGGTTCTTCAAGAGAACCGCGTCTGCCCTCAGGCAGGGGGGCTTCCTCGAAAAAACATGAGCTCTTCTGCGTCAGATCGCCCTAGGGACTACTCAATATTCCTACCTCTCCGCGGCTACCTCTCCGCGGCTTACCCCTACCCCCAAAAACAAATAAGTAAACAAATTCCTGGAGGAGAGCTGGAAGACTGCAAGACTTCAGGTTTTTGCTCTTCAATGAATCATCGTTGCCCTTGAAATCATGCTTTGCCAACTCAATTTCAAGAATCAACTCAAGTATTGATCCATGTTTGCATGTGTCAGAGTGCAGTGCTGAATGTTGCGAGGATGTGGCTCCGAAGGGCCCCAAGCGGCCCAGTGGGGTCAGTGCTGGGGACCTCTTTTTCAGCGACAGCGAGTGAAAAGGTCTCTCTGAATGTACAGGTCGAGTCTGCTGAGATTGCATCCAGCAAAAAGATGTCTAGTTTCCTTACCCATAAAAAGGTTCTTTTCAAAGAACTGACCGACCACTTATATAATGGAATATGATGTGGCTGGTGTCGGGGTTCCAGGAACCATGAGTCAAGATGCTATGGTTCACATTCAGACAGTCTCCTTGATTTTTTTCCCATTCTTGCAAGGAATTTTGTTCATTATGTTTTGTTGAACCTGAAGCATTTCTCTGCTAGGGTCGTGGCTGCAAATTCAAATCAACTCCAGCAGTCAAATCAGAATCATCACATTCATCTCCAAATGTGGCCTACTGGGTGGACAAGTATCGTTCTATTTTTTTGGAGGCCATCCCACACAGTCAGTACCTGGTGTGGTGTACGACTGCACCAGGTTTTGGGCCAGCATTGGTCATGCGAGCAAGTGAGTTGGGCCATGCATGATCGCAGCCATTTTGAGGCTCTGTTCTCCGTTGAGCCCAATTTACGTACTCCTATTCTGTGCTAACACTCCTCAGCACCTCGTGCCTTACTCAGAGCAAGTTGGAGTTGCAGAATGGTTTCAAATTGATGTGCGAGCAGCGAGCAGGTGCGACCAAGTTATGCACGAAGTATTTGAAGATTCAAATCTTGAAATCTTTCGAGGAATGGCATCCTCTATATCTCTTTGATTCGATGAGTGGGTGACGATTTGGGGGTGTATGCCAAGTAGGCTAAGACGATAAATTGGCAATGCGCCCAGGCTGAGCCGACTGTTAGCCGCTTCATTCTCCTTCAGGCTTGATGGGTGCTGCGCGGGTTTGCTGGGGTCAGCTGAACAGACGTTATCCTTTTTGGTCTACGGCATTTTGGGGGCGACCAACAAGACTGTAGAGAGGATTCTAGGAGCTTGAGAACGCCAATCAAGACCCAACAACCAACTGGCTCTATGGAACCTGCACTCTCGGTTGAAATTGCTCTGGTTTCTAATAGTAAGAATGCTCCTAGTAGCGATGCCAGGAGCCCTTAATAGCGTCCTTGCTCCTAGTAGCGATGCCCTTTGTTCCTAGTAGCATTCTTGTTCCTAGTAGTAAGGCCAGGAGCCCCTAGTAGCGTCCTTGTTCCTCCAGATCTTGAAACCATCGGATGTAGTGCACTGCCAGACCCATTTGTGTATGCCGTCGGACAGGATGCAAGCGAGTGTGCAGTCTGAGTGTTCTCATTTCTTGGGGCTGGCTTTACTTTCACACAAAGAAGGTACAGGGAAAATTCACCATCATTCATGCGCATTTTTTGAAGGACAAGTGAAGATGCAACCTTATATCTTCCTGCAGTGAAGCTGCGCCTCCAAAGCTGGGACATGAACTGTGAATCATCGGGTTCCCCGTCTTTCATTTGATTCCAATTACAGATTGACACATGTATTATCAGATTTACTCTCCAAGTGGCTTTGGCCCTGACAGGTTATCCTTTGAGGAGTCGCTCTTCGCAGAATTTCCTTCATGACAAGTCCAATGATCCTTGGCTCATTTGACGGGCTGCAAGAACCGCTTTAACACCGAACAGCTGGAGCAGATGCGGCCTGATCTCTGAACTCAGAAAACACTTCCAATAGCGATCGACGCCGACCTAATAGCGACGGCCTCCAACCTAAGAGCGATGGCCTCCCAGATCTCTCAACTAACAACACTGGCAAGAAACTCGTTTGGTTCCATAACGGATAGTTGTGCTACCATCGTTCGCAGGAGTTTTTGGACGCGACATCAGTGTTTGTTGTTTGTTTCCCAAATACAATAAAGTGTTCAAAAAGTGTTCAAAGGTAGTTTGGAGGTCCTCGCATTGATGCCCACATTTGCCCAGAGAACATAGTAAAGTAAGGGTTAATTTAATGAGGCTCAGGGGTCTCATTACTTTCTTACTTTCCTGTCTTTGTTAATTTCTTTTGTCATTGCCTGTTGCCAAGTTTTGGTACCTAAGCAGCTGAACGTTTCAGAAGCGCTTTGGAGTCTGCATTGAAGGCACACAAACGCGAAAGGAGGTGCATGCTTTTTTGTTCGCATGGGTTCGTGTCTGTGCTTTTTCGAATTTTCCAAGAACTATCCCGTCCTTCCTATGTTCCGCTTCACTGCGCTTTTCGATTGACTTTGCCGAGGATGCTGATTGCAATGCAAGACTTGATGCAGGCCTGGGCAGTCTGGGCTTGAGTGATGCTTGGTCTTTCAATCAGGTTAGCTGATGTGTTTTGCATGTCGAGCTTTCTCAGCTGGTATTGAAATCGAGAGAAAGCAACAGACAGTGGTGCGAGCGGCTCAGTAAATTCAGATGGCGGAAGCCTCCTTTTCTTAGTAGAACTCTGCTTGACTCCGCAGTGCATTGATTGTCAAGATAGGTGGGTCAAGGTCGCCCTGGTTTGTGCCGTCCCTGGGTCAAGGTCGCCCTTGTGGTCGCCTGTGTTTTCGCCGGTTGGTCCCTGCAGACGCCCCTTGTTTCGGAGGGCCGCGGGGACAAGGCGTCCTGGTTGACGGGAGCAGCCGTTTGGAGATCGATACGATTGGGAGCCCCTCCTAGCTTCTTGTTTCTAGTAAGGCCAGGAGCCCCTAGTAGCGTCCTTGCTCCTAGTAGCGATGCCAGGAGCCCCTAGTAGCTTCTTGTTCCTAGTTGGGAACTGCTTCTCCTTCCAATGAAGTATACAGTTTTCCTTTACTGCAAGAGGTGGCCAGACGAGCGAGAGAGGGTGGGCCAGGAATTGTTGCCGTGAGGCGCGATTTGTTAGAGGCCCCCCGGACGCAAGAGTCTTGCTTCTTCGCACGGTCACCACGCCTAAATGGACCTGGATACAAACTCCACAAAAGACAATTGTTTCTTGCTTGGGTAGCTCGGGCCTACGGACAAATAGACATTTGATCTCGTTTCCTGCTCGCATAGCGCCTTCGTGGCACGGTTATCAAATATGAACATGACATGATATGCTTGAGCAGAAACACCTTACAAGGGTGGTTGGGAAATCATCCATAGCATAGGCTTGCGACATCTTGCGACTGTGTGAAGCGCATGAGGTCTGCGTGCTCATTCCTCCTGCAACGCGTGACATACCCTCTTCATAAGGCCAGGTTTGTCGGGGCTTGTCAAGGCATGTGTATCCAAGCCACGCGGTCGTCTCTTACAGAAGGGCCAGTCATCGTTGAATTTGCGTCTCCGCCCGTCCTGATATTGAGACATGCCCTTTGCATTAGCGGGAATGTATTCTTGGAGGATTCTCTCCAAACAACAGGTTCACTGTAGATGGGTTCAAAGTAATTTCAATTCTTGTATGAGAATCCAACCGACAAGAATGCCGGATGAAGAGGTTAGTGATGACTTGTCTTGGCAGGGCCCTCGCAACTGGTAGGACTGATAGGATGAGAACACCCAATTTGCTTATTTATAACCACTTCAGGGACTACTCCCGCGAGCAGTGGGGGAAGTGGATGAGTTCAAAAATTGGCTGCGGGCAATAGCCAATGACTCGACAAATCTGGATGGGTGGACAATTGTTCAAAAGCCATGGGTTCTTGTTGGAGTTAGAAGCAAGAGCTTGCGGGATGAGCAGGCCAACACATGTCCATGTTGATGTTGGAGTTAGCAGCGAACGGAAGAAAAAAAGGGGGGAACTAATGCTGAAAACAGGAAAGAAAAGAAGACAAGAAGAAAGAACGCTACTAGGGGCTCCCTTACTACTAGGAGCAAGAACGCTACTGGGGGCTCCTGGCCTTACTACTAGGAGCAAGAACGCTACTAGGGGCTCCTGGCCTTCCTCCTAGGAGCAAGAACGCTACTAGGGGCTCCTGGCCTTCCTACTAGGAGCAAGAACGCTACTAGGGGCTCCCTTACTACTAGGAGCAAGAACGCTACTAGGGGCTCCTGGCCTTCCTCCTAGGAGCAAGAACGCTACTAGGGGCTCCTGGCCTTTCTACTAGGAGCAAGAACGCTACTAGGGGCTCCTGGCCTTCCTACTCGGAGCAAGAACGCTACTAGGGGCTCCTGGCCTTCCTACTAGGAGCAAGAACGCTACCAGGGGCTCCTGGCCTTCCTACTAGGAGCAAGAACGCTACTAGGGGCTCCTGGCCTTACTACTAGGAGCAAGAACGCTACTAGGGGCTCCTGGCCTTACTACTAGGAGCAAGAACACTACTAGGGGGGCTAGGGGTTTGAGGTGATCGGTTGTGGGAGGTTAGTTGGCACCGTCACAGCCAGCGCTCACCTGCTCAGACGGTCGAATGCACTGAACTTGACGAGTCCGAGTCCACGGAGGACCGCAACGATTGGGAGCCCCTAGTAGCGAACACTGCTCCTAGTAGCGATGCCAGGAGCCCCTAGTAGCTTCTTGTTACTACTAGTAAGGCACTTGTTACTACTAGCGTGGCACTTGTTTCTACTAGCTTCTTGTTCCACTAGGCGAAACGGTCAAATACAGTTTCTTTACATTCTTCTCTACAAGCCTCCGCGGATGGCCTCCAACCCACTAGCGATGGCCTCCACCTAGTAGCGATGGCCTCCAACCTAATCGGGATGGCCTCCAACCTCACAGACAGTGGATTTTCGTGACACTCTTTTGCTTATCATTTCTCTCGTCATTTCCAACAAGGGAATATCCTTTTTGCCCCTTGGTTTGATCGGGCCGCTCACGATGAAACTCGCTTCAGAACCATGATAAGACTGAATCCAAGAAGATGCAAGGGGTGAAGAGCGCGAGATTGGCAAGCGCACTACGCTAGTGATTTGTGCGAGTCAAATTGGATAATCGAACGTCGAACCAAGTTGATTTCGCCAGGATCCAGGAGTCCAATCACTCACTTCTTGTCATGATTGCCTGAGCAGTTGTTTGCATTTGAGAATAGGTACCTGATATTTGCAGGGTATGCTTGCATTCATCCAAAACCCACAAAGTACCTTTGACACTCCTCAGCATTTATGCACACAGAATCACACAGATGCCCTTTGGTCCTTGGTGGTTTTTTGTTCCAACAGCCCCAACAGGAGGACGATTGCTGTCATGACCGCCAGGAGGTTGTGGGGTTGGGAAAGCACAAAAAATGCTACAGTGGACAGAGGTTCCGTATGGCCTACAGTCGATCAACCAGTCGAGACCCTTGGAATGTGCAAAATTGTTGTCACCGCTAGCCTTTTTCAAGCCTCCTTCTGTGTGTGGCAGGTCTTCGTCCAAGACGATGACATTCCGCAGGGGCTGAAGATCCTGGAGCCATGAGCCCGGAGAAGCGCGAGTCATGAGCATTTTGTTCTTGTGTTTGCCAATGACACTAGCCGGGGGCTCTGCACGGTGCACATGGCCTCCGGAAGAGCATCGGCTTCAGGGGCTGCAGCAATGTTGGGTGGCGTGGGCTGGGGCTGTAATTTGCAGATGCTTCATGCAAACTGTTTGCAGTCACATGCAGCGCACTACCAAACTTTGTTTTTCTTCGTGTCTTGTTTTCTTGTTGCATTTGAGCTGTATTTTTCTAACTTTTCTGCAATTGATCATTGGGTTTTGGATTTCTTCCTTAAGTCGGCCAACTGATCCTCTATCCGACTTTGTTTCCAGCACTGTTATCATTGACCGAGAGCCATGGGACGAAAGGGCCAAGTTGCCCTTGTGGTCGTCACTTTACTATTCATCCGACCTCCTGTCAGTGTTTCTAGTGTCTTGTGCCTACATCCCGTCAGGCAGTGTTCTGGCTATGTGGACTCTGTGCGTCTTGAATAGTTCCCTTCACAGAGGTCAACCACAGCAAGCAAGCTTCAGCTTGTTAAAGGCCTCAACGGCCTCAACGGCAGAATTTTGCCAACTAGGCAATAGTTGCCGGCACACGGGTTTCAGACAGTTTTAGCTCCAAATGCTATGTGCTCGAGAGACCCAAGCAGATGTCGGATTGGTGGAGTGAACTTCTTCTCCCCTGTGACTTTGGCAACCCACACATCATTCTTACTGGTGCTGCAAATACAAAACCGCAGTGAAGGTTCAAAGATACCTCCCCAAAATCACGAAAAGACCTGCTATGGCCACTTTGGAAGTGGCTCTTTCAAACCAAATGCGCATACCACACAGGGCCCATTCTTCATCAATGCCTTGTTTTTGGAGTTGGTACTGTAGCTCAAAGGCCTTTAGAAACTTTTGCAATGTTTGTCTTTCGGCATTGAACGCTCCAATCTCCCCAAGGCAGTACGGTGCATTTGGCGCGGCCCCAGGAGCTTGGACGTGACTTGGCTTCGATGAGCTGGAGCAACACGGTTTTTGACAAACAGAATGATTTGCCAACAAAACCAATAGCTGCATGAGAAGATGGTAAAGGGATCGACCAGCTCCACCTTCCAAGATTTCAGAATTTGGCCTTTTCAGAGGGTGTCAGAGGTGAGTGCCTCGACTTCAGACACTAATTCAAGCAAAAGAAACTGAAGGTCCAAACATAAATTACAGTACAACAAAAAAGGAACAACAAAAAGACACCCAAAGCCCCCTGTTTCATTGATTGAACACAAACACATTTCAATTCGTTTCACATTTTTTCCTTGCGGACTGAGGAGCAGGGTGGCACCCAAGGCCCGAAGTGAGTGTGAAATAGGACCGTTCCATCTCAATTTGTTGCAGCACAGCTCTGAAGATTCACGATTCACGAAGGAAGCTACTAGGAGCAAAGGGCATCGCTACTAGGAACAAGGACGCTACTAGGGGCTCCTGGCCTTACTACTAGGAACAAGGATGCTACTAGGAGCTTTTTCGCTCCCATGGTCGACCTTGCATGACATGGCCATGTTAGGCATGGGCGGCATGAGGGCTGGGATGCCAGTGCCATGGCGCCCCAGACAATCCGTCAGAAGAAGCAGGTGTTGTCAAGAGCCTGTTCACTCAAAAGTCGCAAGATTGATGTAAACCAGAGTTTCCAAAGTCGGAACCCAGGTTTCGAAACTTCGCCGGTCCAGACCTTCAGTCTAAATGTTCACCGGATTCAATAGCTATGCAGGGGAGCTTGATCGGCAAGATTGGACTGTGCAATGGCAGCGGAGGACTCCATGCTGTGAAGGTCACATAATAATATATATATATATATTCTGGACTCTGGACATTACCTTACATGATCTCGCTGCTGTAAGCAGCGAACTTGGATGCCAAAGATGCTTCCTAGCATGACAGTCCATCAGGAACAACCCAACTGCCTGAAGCCTCTCAAGCTGCAGGCGCAAAAGATTTATGAGATCCCCATTCGAGAGTATGATCCTGCTGCCACAGCCCCCAGTCTGTCCGGGTCATCCTTGGCTGACCATTCTGAAGAACCTAGGCTTCACAAAGGTTTGCCTGTCATTGAAGCCTGGTCCTCAGTGGAAGGGAGTTGGTTTCCACTGAAAGGTGGCGCTGTGCAGACTTAGGGAAGGGTATTGAAGAACGAGAACATTCTTGAGCAGGGCAAACAATGACAATGACTCATAACTCATAACTCATAACTCATAACTAATACATGGATGATTATCTCTGCTCTCGGATCTAGGACACTGGGATCAATAGACTCCCTACCACTTCCTGGTCATTTGCTGGTGGTTCAGGGCTGACTTCATTCTACCTTGCAGGAAGAGACATCACATTACCCTTTCCCTCATTGCCTCTTCAGGTGTCTTTCTTTTCTCACCCGCCATTTCAATGCCTCAAATCACGGGGAGCTTCCATCTTGTCCCCAAACATCCAGCACCAAGGACCAATCCATATGATTGCTTGGACCTTTCGTCTAAGTCCGTGCGGCCTATGTGCAAAGGCCAGCAGGAATGATTTCATGAAGGGACGGGCTTGCGGGCTTGCTTGCAATTCCTTTCAAACGAAAGATATGGTTTGAAGTTTGAAGTGCACCGCCGTGGGATGGGCATGGAAAGACCCCTTGAAGTGAGTAAAGGACCAACAAAACAGCAACAGCATACGAATCTCCGAGCATGGTCGAGCGATCACAGTGCCCAGACATGAGTTGTTTGTGGGGGAAGTGTGTGGCGCTAGGGCCAAGGCTACTGCAGTTTAGAGGACAGCTGTATGATTCCTCCAAGACTACGGTTTGGCTTTCTGCACGAGGTGCAGGTCTTGACAAGCTTCATCAAGCTTCCGTAGTTGCTGCAAGCCACTAGATTAGCGTTGACGGCTGGCAGGCTTGTTTTGCACTGGCCCACTTCCATATTGAGCTGGGCAGGGCCCTCGGTGTGATTTTGAAGACACATGTCGAATGTAACATCAGGTCGAATCAACTTTTTGGATTTGACTAAGGCCGCTCCAGGTGGCGGCACACATTGTGAGAACAGATCCATATTTACAAGATTTTCACGACTTATCTGCCTTTTCGACCCGAATCGGTACCACTCGATTCACCTTTGGTCGGCAAAGTGCGTGGCCGAAACCGCGACCGACACTTGCGGAGTACAGCGAGACCTGGTTTTTGATTCTTGACATCTTGGATAATATGGCTCCGTTTCATTCAATTTCTAAGTTGGAGGCCATCGCTATTAGGTTGGAGGCCATCGCTGCTAGGTTGGTGGCCATTCATTCAATTTCTCAGTTCAATAGGACTCAAGTATTCCGGGGTTCAAGTGTCGTTGCTCTCTGAGTTGCACCGCAGGACCGTTCCTGGCAGGTGTTGACAGAATTTCAGGTAGCGCTGAGTCCGGGATGCGTGCCACGATGGCCGGACAGACCTACGTTGTACAGCACAATCGGCCATAGAAAGCGCGAGCGCTAGACGCAAGCCTTGAGGTATTTCAAAGAGAATAAGGATCATTGTCATGCAGGATCATCATCTCTTCTAAGTGGGATCGTTGAAGTTGCTGTAGACATTGCTCTTTGAAGCTGTCGTCCTGTTGTACTTGTAACACCCCCTTTGTACCCCTATTGGCTGTGCTGTTGCTCCTCCTATTGGCTGAGCTTCCATGCTGACAGAAAACAAAGCTGTGGTAAACACCAAGATCTCACTTTCCTCGGTTACTCCACTCCACTCCACCTGCCACTCTCTCACTCTCTCACTCTCTCACCCTCACTCTCTCACTCTCACTCACTTACTCTCTCTCTCTCTCTACTCTCCCTCTCCATCTCCCTCTCGCTCTCGCTCTCGCTCTCTCACTCAGTTGGTCCCAAATGCTCGCCACGTCAATGGCTATGCTTTGAACAAACATGTGTCAAGCGAACCACTTGCCTTCATCTCTTGCAATTCTGAGAGGTTGGAAGCCTTTTATATATATATATAGTTCTAATCATACACAGTAACTAAAGAACAAGATTGGTTAGCTGAAGAAAATTCTTCCTGTAGACTTCACACTTCCAACCGCTGATCGTACTATAACCCTGAAAGATCGTGTTCTCAACCAGGGTCCGATTGAAAATACTGTCACAGAGCTCCTTTGCACTGCCGGTAGGCACGCTGGTCCCGTGCATCATATGTCTCCTGCTGGTGCCCTGAGGCTGAAATAGCTCTGCAAATGTCTCCTACTGTGGCGTCATGAACATTGAACATACGGATGAAATAACAAGCCTTAAAGTCGCGCTGATTGTTCCATGTACTCGGGCAAGCATATTTCAAAGACCACAAGGTCTCTTTCAATACCCTGTGGGTTCCCACCCAGTACAGTAACCATGGTCTTTAAGTCCATTCTAGACTCTAGACCCATATGTTGGAAACATGTCTTTATTTGTGTTCTGGATCAATCGACGCACGCACATAATTCCTCCACATCACACTTGATGCGGACACGTCGTTCCTCAAGCGCCATGCGACGTACAACACGGCCAAGCATTCGGGTTTCAGGCGCAGGCCCGGCGGGACACACCGATTGGTGCAAAAACAGTTGGCCAGTGAATGCACATGGTGTGTCTTGAATTGGCCCGATATCTGCTGCTTCTGCTTCTACTTTTACTGCTGCCAATACCACTGCCACTAGCACTATTATGATGATGACGATGACGATGGCTACTACTGGCAGCGACGGCTATTAATTACTGGCGGCGGCTGCTACTACTGTTTCTTGTTGTTGTTGTTCTTCTACTACTACTACTACTCCTGCTGCTGCTGCTGCTGCAACGGCGATGACTACTGGTACCGTTACTGTTACCGTTACTGTACTGTTACTGCTGCTTCTACTACTTCTACTACTACTACTACTCCTGCTGCTGCTACTACTACTACTGCTACTACTACTACTACTACTACGACTACGACTACGACTACGACTACTACTACTACGACTACGACTACTACTACTTCTACTACTACTACGACGACTACTACTACTACTACTACTACTACCACCATTACACTATGAATGCCACCACCATCACCACGACCAGGACCAGTGCCACTACCGCCACCCTACATGTGCGTTTTTGTCTGTACACGAGACTGATCCCCTTGGCCTCACCGTGCGCAGTTCTCGTGGCGATTCTCTTCGTTTCCTGGCAACAATGCTTGGCATTCTTCACACTGCGCGGCCGAGTGCCTTCACCGCGGGCGCGATGCCTGCGGCGTGCAGAGGACCAGGCCTGAGGTAGATGGAATGCGTTGCTTTCTGAGTGGACACGAAGCGTATGAAATTTCTTTCAATTTGGACTTTGTAAAAGCCTTGAACCTATGTAAAAAAACTTTGACACTCCAACGCACAACTGCAATAAACTATATATATATAACATTTTATTCATCGCATCCAGGACACCATGGGTGAACTTTTCACCAAATATTACCGGCTGCAAGAGGTCTGGAACTTGGCATCCTGAACTGCTGAATCAGTTCTGGGTTTACAAACCTGCTCTTCGACTAGCTCAGTGTTTTGCCTGTTTGACAAGATCATGTGAACAGATCGCTCTTGCAGTATTTTGGTGTGGGGACAAGTGTAGGACAAGTGATACCTGCTCTCCTGGTGGAATTGTGAAGCTCTAGCCCACATGTGCTGCAAACATCTGCAAACTGCATTTTTCACTGGACTTGTAGACCCGCTGTTTTCCCAGGTCTCATCAAAGGCCTCTACGAACACCTGCAACTTGTGGGCATGTCACCCACAGACCCAAGTCTTCATGCCAAAAGGTTGACCGGAGACCTGCCAAGGTTAACCGAAACTTGGCAGCGGAGACTAAAGTTGCTGTGGTCTCCGAACTCTTGGAGATCCTGGATGACCTGGAGCGGGGAGCCAGCCAGGATGGTGGCACCGGGGCCACTAGGCGACTTATGGAGTGACTGGTGCAAGTTGAGAGTGTTTGAAAGTTATTGGACCTGCAAATCATGGTTTCTATGGGTTTTTGATCTTCATTCAAGCTCCTCCAGCTACTTTTGGACTAGGCTTTGGCAGGCTCTTGTCCTATCCAATAACACGCTTCAACTCGACATGAGCAAGTGTATCGCTTTTTGTGTACTTTTTGACCATGGTCCACTTGCAATATGGCTTCTCGCAGGACGTTGTCACATGCTTTGCAGATGCGATTTTGAATTGATTGTGCGGGAACGAAGCCATTGCCGACCAGCGTGAATGCTCTTTTGCTCTCAGTATGCTCGGACGTGTTAGGGAATGGTTCCCAGGCCAGTTCCTCTTTGAAGACGCTAGCCAAAAAGTTTGAAGCGAGGCCGTATGCCGGTAATGTGGGGTGGGTGGAATCATGTAAAGAAACATTTGAAAAAGACATAGGATTCATGGCACCCTTGTCCTTGTGTGGTCTATTTGCCCTTTTCACTGTCATGCTGCCTCTCCCACACAATTGAACCCAAAGCTCGCTGTGCAGAAGCATGTCATACCCTCATATACAGTATATGTCAGAAAGTCATGGAATGTAGCACCCATCCATACACCTGTGCACAAATCAAGACGCGTACCGCTTTTACTTTAGGCCCGAGCGAAAAGCATTTTGTGCGCTTCGCATGGTAGCGGAGCCGGGTCGTAAAGTGCCCGGCTCCCTACCCCACGCCATAGGCACCACGATTCCTGGTCGAAGCATCAGGTCGAGATCCCGGTCACCTTCGGCACGATCGACTACGGTGGGATTCTGGCTGGTTGAGCTCTTGCTCCTGGCCGGGATAGCAGGTGGAGCCGGCGGTCCCTCCATCCAGGAGATCTGCTACTACCAAAGCCCCAACGTGGTGCACGAGACTGGCAAGTGGAAGGTCAGGTACCTCCACACCATCCTGGTGGAGACCAGTGAACGCGTGGGGAAGCTAAAGTGGGCACGCAGCGACCGTGTGGTGAAGGCCACCCTGACGGTCAGAGAGAAGGACAAAAGGAGGAAGAAGCGATCCAGGGAGCAGAAGCAGCTGGTTGTCTTGGTCCCAGCTGGCTGGAAGCTCATCGATAAGATCGAGAAGCTGAGGGACAACACCGACAAGGAGGTCATCAGTGACCTAGTGGCCAATTGGGGCTTCACCCAATTGCTGGACTACTTTGACTTTGAGCCCAACCACTCAGAAAAGACACCCACCTTGACCACGAGGACGTACAGGCCCTACATTTCCTACTTGGCTGCAATGGCCGAAGAGAGCTTACAGAAGATTTCACAAGCTTTGGAGAGATTGAGTGTGAGCCAAAGCTCAACATCTTGGTCTCGCCACCTGAAAACTCCAGACATCTTCAAGCCTGACACCAGGGACAATGAGCTGAAACAATGGAGTGATTGGAAATTCTCCTTTGAGAACTATGTGAAAGGCATCGGCCCAGGCATGGCTCATAGCATGAGGCTGGTGGAGGAGAACCTGAACGGCAGCTACGAGCTTGATGCCTCCATTCGCCTGTACAGCTTGCTCCTACCTCAGGAACCGACCGCTGAAGCTGATCAGGCACATGAAGCAGGAGAACGGATACGAGGCCTGGCAGCGGCTCCTACGAGAGATGCAGCCGGTCACAAGAGCCCGGCCTTTGGCTCTGTTGACCCAGTTGTCTCGGGTGCAATTCGCAGAAGGAAAGTCCATATCCGAGCAACTTTGTCAATGAGTATGAGAGGATTTCAGGGCATGACTGCGCCGATGACGCCAAAGTGGCCTCCATCCTTCAAGCTGTACCAGCGCATCTGAGAGCCCATCTGCAGCTTTGGATCATGGATTCAACCACCTATGAGCAATTGAAGAATAAGGTGATGGAGCTAGGGGGCCTGGCAACAAGATGGGACAGCTCGAACAGCTTGAGTCTGCCCACCAGGTTGGGAATGGACAGTTCGCATGGAGGTGGACTACATTCGAGGTGACAAAGGCAAGAAAGGCGGTAAGCGCAAGTCAAAGGACAAGGGAAAGCCTAAAGGGAAGGAGAAAGGAAAAGGCAAATCAGAGGGAAAGAGCGCATGGAAGAGCGGTGACAAAGGAAAGAGCTCGTGGGAGAAAGGAGGATTTGGAAAGAAAGGAAAGAGTCAAGAGAAAGGAAAGGCAGGAAAAGTCACTGGAGCATGCCGCAACTGTGGAAAGGTTGGGCGCTATGCCAAGCATTGCTGGAGCAGCAAGAGAGTGGCGCCAGTTGAGGAGACAAGTGGAGGAGCCTCTTCGTCGACAGGTGAACAGGGACCACCTACAGTGACGACAACATCCTCCGTCAAGATGGTGAGATTGCAGACCTCACCAGATTCCCACAGCCTCGAGATCTTCGATTTGACTGGAAGTGGTTCAGGATCAGAAGATCATGCGTATCCATGGCGTGTGGGCATGGTCGAAGTGGAGAATGACAGTGATGTTGAGATGGAAAGCTGCGAGAGTGAGTTCGAGGACTGCATTGAGCCCGTGGTGGACATGCCGGAGGGCATTAGCGTTGTGGCCGTGGACTTGCAAGACGAAGCTCAAGAGCAGCTGGTCCAGATGGTGAGGATGGACCAGAGTGATATCGAGCAGTGCCTGCTGGCACTTGACAGTGGGGCGGACATCTCCGTCCTGCCCAAGTCCTATGGGAACGTGGGACAATGGCCGCCAGGCGCTGAGTCTTAAGATGGTGGACGTGCAGGGAAAACCAAAGCCCATGATGGGGTTACAAAAGCAAGGCTGCGCACGACAGATGAATGTAGAGATGGTGGAGGAGTTCGTTCTTGGGAATGTGAAGAATCCAATGTGCTGGACGACTCCTCAGGAAAGGCTGGTGCATCGAGAATGAAGGGGGCAGTCTGGCCCTGCGGCGCAAAGAAGCGTTGTGCTTCCGACCAGCGATGAACGGAATTTGCAGCAAAATCTATGTGGTCGAGACCATGAGAGTGAAGACAAGCAGCAGGAGGAGGCTGTGAGAAAGATGGAGAAGCCTGCAGTGGTGTTGGCGCTCAGAGGATCACTGAGCAGATATGTGAAGGAGTTGGAGCGGGCGGGCTGGCGCCGGCTGGCCAGTGGCCACGGCCCTTGTGGACCCACGAGGCCAGATTGAGGAGACATGGAAGTCGAGAATGACACTGGTTAAAGACATGTGGGGCTAGGATCTCAGGCCTATCGCAAGATCGGTTTGGGCGGCCCCCAGAGGACAATCACTTTCTTTGCGGCCTCCAAGATGGAAGACTACTGGGAGCAAGACTCAGAGGTTCCTGTTCGTCCACTGCCTGAGGAGAAGATGAGAGAAGCTCAAGGCAGAACAGACTGGTCAGAAGATGAGTATGAGAACGAGGATGAACTAGAGATGCAGATGGATGCAAAAGACATCGAAAAGATGGTGGTTGCTGAGAGGAAAGATGAGGTAGAGCTGGATGAGACGCTCTACGCAGAGAAGATGACAGTGAAGGAACTTCAACTGGCACGCAAGGAGAGACAGCTACCTTACAGTGGGAGCAAACGAAGGCCACTTGACCGCTTGATCGCCTTCAAGGTGAACCTCGAGAGCCAGATGAAGCTGTCCATTGCCAGCAAAAGTTGTTTGAAGAGCAGGAGAGAAAGCCTACAGCCTTGGGACAACCCAGACTCTGCCCAGCATGTGTGGCGACAAGAGCGAAGGAGGACAAGTTCGAGCAAAGGGAAGAGAAGGCCGACCTCGGGAAGAATGTCATCCAGTTGGACTTCTTCTACACCTTCGCAGGTGAGGATGTGAGAGGAGACGAAGGACTTGTGGATAAGGTGAAGGAGCGGTCTGACCAATTCGGGACGTGCTTAGTGATGGCAGGCTCGGAGACGAAGGCAGTACGTTGTGCCAGTGCCCACAAATAACAGCGAGCTTCAAAAAACTGTCACAGAGGAAGTTGTGAGATTCTCCCTCGAGAACAGCTCCATGGACTCCTGTGTCTCCCAGAACGACAGGGACAAATCAACACGCCTCGAATGGCCAAGCAGAAAGAGCAGTCCAAAACGTGAGACGACTTGCAATCTGCTTGCGGAGCTTTGCAGAGACCAGAGCAAAGGTGAACATCATGGGGAACATGCGCGTGTACCCTTGGTCTTTCCGCTATATGCAGCGTTCCTGCTCAACAGGTTTCGTGTCCTGGAGAAGGTTGGAAAGACAAGCTGTGAGTTGGCAACAGGCCATGCGTACAGAGGAAAACTAGCGCTCTTCGGGGAATCTGTGATGTTCAAGAAGCTCACCAAGTACGAGGCCAATGATATCTTCGAGCGAGGTGTGTGGGTTGGACAGCACAGCTGGAACGATCACCATGTGGTCTTGACAGCCGCAGGTGCATTTGAGGCAAGGACCACCAGAAGGCTAGCAGCTGAGGAAGCATTCATTGCCAGTGATCTGGTGATTGTCAAAGGCCTGCCGTGGGCATATAGCCCACAAGGAATCCTGATGAAGCACGCAGGAGCGGCGCAGCGCTACAGACAGCCTACATTGGAAGCTGAGGCAACAGAAGAAGAGCTGAAGGCAGTACGAGACGCTGTAGCAGCAGGAGTGGTCACACCTGCGCCAGGTCTACAAGCGCAGCCATCTACACCAGGTTTTGCCGGCGGAGCGCCTGCAACCCCAGCTGTCATTCCGATGACTCCAAGAGCGAAGAGAAGTCTTGAGACAGAGGAGGCTGGTCCAGATGCTAAGAAGTTGGATGACGCAACTTCGCCCCGGAGAAACCATGAGAAGAGGACGACAGATGAAGCGTCGGACTCAGGTGATGAGAAGAGGCAGAAGATCAATGAGGAGACAAGTGCTGTTGAGGAGAGCTCAAACCTGGAACCACCCAGAGGAGTGGTGAGGACAGCAGAGGAAGGTGGAGAAGCTATGGCAAGCGCATCACCAAATAAGTCATCTCGCCTGTATCGTCCTCATTACGCAGGAATCCAAGCAATTGAGGCTCATGGAGATGAAGAACTGGGAGCAGACCTCATCCGGACGAGATCAGCGAGGAGCTTTTTGCAGGATATGGAGGAGAAGAAGATGAGGATCCTCCAATCACGTCTGAGGAACGCCTCCAACTGCTCGACAGTGAAGCTCGAAAGGTTGAAGTACAGCGGATGCTGAACATCCCTCCCATGGAGGAGTCAACAAGAGAAGAAGTGGCAGAATGTGGGGGCTACGTCATCTTGACCAAGTTCGTCCAGACATGGAAGCATAGAGCAGAAAGAGGAGGATGGTTCAGGAGAGCCCGACTAGTGGCCAGGCAGTTCAAGGCCAGCGTGGACATCGAACAAACGTTCGCGCCCACATCGATCATGGTGCTGCCCAAGATGTTGATACACATGATGCTCAACGTCTACAAGGAGTTCTCAGCCGTGACCCTTGACGTAAGGGATGCCTTCCTCATGGCGAACCAAGCTGAAGAAGAAAGAGCTTTCGTGGAAGTTGAAGGGAAGATTTACCGGCTGGTGAGATGTCTTCCTGGACAGAGATCGGCAGCATCATGGTTCCAGCTCTTTGCGTCCACAGGAAAGGAGCATGGCGTGAGTCAAGACCTGATGCAACCGACCCTACTGATGAAGGCCAAGGAGATCTACATCACAGTCCACACAGATGACGTCTTCATGGTTGGGAAAGATCAGAGCCTGAGAGATTATGTGAAGCACCTGCAGTCGAAGGGCTGGAATGTTGAGTTGAGGAGAAAGGCCCTTCAGGATTGGAGACAAATTCCATTACTTGAACAGGGAATTCAGGCTTTGCAGAGACTGCTGTGACATCAGGTGCGACTACAAGCAGTACGAGAGTTTGGCAGAAGAGACAAACGTGTACAGCAAGACTGCAATGGACCAAAGCTTTGCCAAGAAGGATGAGTCCCCACAGCTAGAAGGCCAGGGCATAACAAAGTTCAGGAGTGTGGTTGGACGGCTCATGTACCTCAGCAAGCTTCCAGATCTTCATCGACGGCAACCTGAGTGAGTGGCATTGTCTTCAGGAGAGTCAGAATTCGTAGCAGTGGTAGCTGGGATGTTCTGACGGCCTCCTGATCAAGCACCTATGGACGCAACTGGTCGGAGAAGGATGTCAAATGAAGGTGAGGTCAGATAGCTCGGCTGCAAGAGCTATGGTGCAGAGGCAAGGAATCGGCCGAGTGCGTCACCTAGACGCATCCCTCTTGTGGGTCCAGCAAAAGGAGAAGGACAAAGTGCTTACCACAGGAGCCATTCCAACAGAGCTAAACTGCGCCGACGCTACTCTACATGCTGAATTAAGGTAGTGAATGCAGCGCGCGATAGAGTTGGAGAGTATGAGTTCAAGGAGCTTGAACACGAGGAGAAGATGAAGAGGGCAACGAAGAAGATCCTGAAGGACAAGAACCTCCATGTGGGCATGATCGTGCTCCTGTCAAACTAGTATCAGGCTGCTGGAGAGCCTGTGCGGCAGCGTGCATGGGGAGAAGGCGTGCAGCCATCGACTGGACATGGATCGTATTCGTGGTCTGTGCAGTACTCGGGGCCTTGAGCACGATGAAGTGCCTATGGCACTATACCAAGGACATCCTCCTGGGAATGGTTTGGGACTATGGCGACCAAGTCCCAGGAGAACGACACCTACCAGAAAGGAATGAAGGTCAGCGTGGAGACACAAGCTGACTGTTGGGCTGACATCAAAGCCCTGGGAAACGATGAGAAGAAAATCGAAGAGATGGAAACCAAGCTGTTTCAGCTGGACTTGTACATAGATGAACTTCAAGAAGAGCTGAAACAAGTCCGTGAAGAGAGAAGCCCTCCAAGAGCTGAGGATTTCAGAAGCACATGGGCTGATGCTGATGAAGAGGATCAGCCAGCGCACCGTGTGCAGTACTGGGAGCGTGATTCATTTTGATCCGGTCTGTCCTTTTTTTTCAAAGGGAAAACCTTTCCCTTACTGCAGCAGGTGTATGATTGGTGGGGCGGTGTCAGAAAGTCATGGAATGTAGCACCGATCCATACACCAGCGCGCAAATCAAGAAGTGTACCGCTTTTACTTTTAGGCCCGAGCGAAAAGGATTTTGGAGAAAGGCCCTTTCAGGATTGGAGACAAATTCCATTACTTGAAAGGGGAATTCAGGCTTTGCAGAGACTGCTGTGACATCAGGTGCGACTACAAGCAGTACGAGAGTTTGGCAGAAGAGACAAACGTGTACAGCAAGACTCCAATGGACCAAAGCTTTGCCAAGAAGGATGAGTCCCCACAGCTAGAAGGCCAGGACATCACAAAGTTCAGGAGTGTGGTTGGACGGCTCATGTACCTGGCAGGAGAACGACCTGACTGTCCCTTGCAAGGTTGCATGGAAGCGCGCGTTCCATGTGTGCTCCTACATGCAGGGGACAATGGGCTTTGGAGTGCGCATCGGCAGCAGGCAGAAAGGACAGTCCGTGATGGATGCGAGAGAAGGGGATGAAGTGGAAGCAAAGGAGGAGCATCTGATCGAGGTGATCACAGATGCCGACTATGCCGGAAACCGCCGCGACAGGAAGAGCGCAACAAGCTTCCAGATCTTCATCGACGGCGACCTGATCAAGACTCAAAAGTGAGTGGCATTGTCTTCAGGAGAGTCAGAATTCGTAGCAGTGGTAGCTGGATGTTCTGACGGCCTCCTGATCAAGCACCTATGGACGCAAATGGTCGGAGAAGGATGTCAAATGAAGGTGAGGTCAGATAGCTCGGCTGCAAGAGCTATGGTGCAGAGGCAAGGAATCGGCCGAGTGCGTCACCTAGACGCATCCCTCTTGTGGGTCCAGCAAAAGGAGAAGGACAAAGTGCTTACCACAGGAGCCATTCCAACAGAGCTAAACTGCGCCGGCGCTACTCTACATGCTGAATTAAGGTAGTGAATGCAGCGCGCGATAGAGTTGGAGAGTATGAGTTCAAGGAGCTTGAACATGAGGGGAAGATGAAGAGGGCAACGAAGAAGATCCTGAAGGACAAGAACCTCCACGTGGGCATGATCGTGCTCCTGTCAAACTTGTATCAGGCTGCTGGAGAGCCTGTCGGAGGCAGCATGCGTGGGGGAGAAAGCATACAGGCCATCGACTGGACATGGATCGTGGTCGTGAGCGCGATGAAGTGGCTATGGCGCTATACCAAGGACATCCTCCTGGGAATGGTTTGGGACTATGTGGCAAGGGCCATGGCGACCAAGTTTTAGGAGAACGACACCTACCAGAAAGGAATGAAGGTCAGCGTGGAGACACAAGCTGACTGTTGGGCTGACATCAAAGCCCTGGGAAACGATGAGAAGAAAATCGAAGAGATGGAAACCAAGCTGTTTCAGCTGGACTTGTACATAGATGAACCGTGAAGAGAGAAGCCAATTCCTCCAAGAGCTGAGGATTTCAGAAGCACATGGGCTGATGCTGATGAAGAGGATCAGCCAGCACACCGTGTGCAGTACTGGGAGTGTGATTCATTTTGATCCGGTCTGTCCTTTTTTCTCAAAGGGAAAACCTTTCCCTTACTGCAGCAGGTGTATGAATGGTGGGGCGGTGTCAGAAAGTCATGGAATGTAGTACCCATCCATACACCTGTGCACAAATCAAGAAGTGTACCGCTTTTACTTTTAGGCCCGAGCGAAAAGGATTTTGTGCGCTTCGCAGTATATGTATAGTGGCCTGCAGTCACTTAGAATATTACCTAATGCCCCCGGGGCATTAGGTGATTATTCTATATCTTTTTGGGGAAACACTTAGAATATTGGTTGGATAGGTTTGGATGAGAAGTTGAAGAAACACATGTCATGGGTGGGAAAAGGTAGCGCAGTGAATTTGAGGTATGCTGAATATTCTATCTGCTGGCTTCAAAAAACTGAACAATTCTATCTGTTAGCTTCTAAAAGTTATTCTATGTGTTACCTAATGCACCTTAATATTCTATCTGTCTGAAGTTCACTATATATAGATATGTAGTATGCTTCGCTGCACAGTCTACTGAGAGCCTTCAAGACTGGAAGTGCTTGGTCTTGCTCGCAGGCTCCAGTCCCTGGGCTTCCAAAGAATTGAGGTAGGTTGGGCCTTTCTTGGCCAGATATGCAAGACGGATGGTGGTGCCTCATTGCGGTAGGTTCCTCAAAAGACTGTGGAGGACAAGATTTATATACAGTAGAGCAGGTTCGGGGCAGGTCCGGAGCAGAGAGCACATTCGAATCACACATGGATGCCAACGAAACCTTTATGTGTCTTTGCTCCTAGAAGCGATGCCCTTTGTTCCTAGTAGCTTCTTGTTCCTAGTAGTACGGCCAGGAGCCCCTAGTAGCATCCTTGCTCCTAGTAGCGATGCTTTCTTTTTGTTTTTGCTTTCCAATGAAACCTTTATGAACAGCAAATCACCGAACTCGCCAGGCGCAGGGGCAGGCCTTTGACCCTTCTCTGCATGAAGCTGCTGCCCAGCGGCCTGCAGAGGGTCTCGCAGCGGGCCAGGTCTGCGAGGAGCTGAGGCGAGGTTTGTGTGGGAAGCACCCAGGACAGGACATGTCACAGAATTTGTTCGAGGTTTTCCGAGTTGATTGAACGTGTAGGCTTTTGATCCAAATCCAAACTAGGTGGGCACCTGCACAAGCTTTCTTGGATTCGGAATAGGCAAGGGGACCGCCTCGATCCTACCACTCGATGCAGCAACGTTTTTGAAGGACACATTCACTGCATTTTGGGTGTGGAGGTTTGCTGTGACAGAGCTAAGAAACACTCAACTTCGTTCTGGATCGGCTTTACGTCAGCATGGTCATGTCAGTCAGACAATTTTCTCGTTGGAGAACACCGTGAAACGACTTCAAACGACAAGGTGACACGCACAAAGCTTGTTCACTTGCCCACTCTTCGAGTTTCCACATTTTTGAACCCAAAAGTGGAAGCTTCATTGTTTCCAGCCCGGCCAGGTCAGGATGGATGCTAGAAGACAGCACCTTGGCTTTCATGGGCATGGACATACTACACAGTATGCTGCACTGTCCTAGACTCTGTTTTTTTGGGTCCAAAAAACGCTGCCAAACCTCAATCAGATCTCAGAACATGCCTTGAAACTACAGACATATCAGCGCTGAGGAGTTGTCCGTCCGGCTGTGGTCACAGTGGCAGCTTAAAGAGAGTGGGCCAAAAAGAAGGAATGACGGGGGCGGTGGGCGGTTTGGAAGTTGCCATGCTTTGGGTACCAGTTTGTTCATGGGACTCTTTTCAACACGCAATTTTCCACCAAGAGGATACAAGTAGGACGCAATGTGCTTAGAAGGGGCCGTGTCCTGGAGAACGGCATTTTTCAAGATTTTGGTCCAAGATGTATGCCATCATTGGATGAATGTTTTCCAGCAAACCACTATTTGCTTGTTTGTGACAAATTACTGAAAGAGTTTTGCATATATGATCTGGTGATTGTGCTTCAAACCATACTTCAATTGCAAAATGGCTGAGATGATTCTGGTGTGAGCGAGGTTGAGTGGAACATTGGCAGCTGCGTTTGTACCTCAGGCCTTCATGTGGCGCGACAAAAAAGACCAGCAAAGCAACTTGCGGGGCAATTCAACAAAGCACAAGCCACGAGCCAAAGACGACATGCCAAGCGAAACCATCCTCCTTTCATGAAACACTGACATATAGAATAAGAAAGGAAGAAGAAAGGTCTAAGAAAGGCAAGAAACACTGACAGAAACGTCGTATCACGGCAAGAAGCACACATCACATAGAACTGGCAGAAATTCCACACCGAACCACTAAGCTGCTGCGCTGGGTGGCGTTGCCAATTGAGATGAAGAGCCATCCTGCGGATACCGCCTCCTGCCCCAGTCGCACCGTGACTGATGGGCAGTTCTCCTTGGGGCGATTTCTTTCTGGGATTCTGCAGTTGATGGAAGAGATCAGGAGAACTATCCGATCCCTTGTCTTAGATGGCAGAGTTTCTCCAATGATATTATTGTGTATACGATGCTGAAACGTGAAGGGACATTCTGAACCACTCCGCATGATTTGCAGGGATACCTTTCTTGTTTGTACATTGGTTGGTGAGATGATACCAATCTTTCATATGGTGAGAAAGATGAGAAAGCGCCCCGGAAAGCCTGGGCAAGCTGGGGATATGCAGGGTGTAGTCTGTGTGTACACTCAGCATAGCCTAGCTGAATCTGATCAGTGGCCTTTGTTACTAGTAGCCGTAGCTTTTTGCTACTAGTAGTAAGGCCAAGAGCTACTAGTAGCGTCCTTGCTCCTAGTAGCGATGCCCTTTGTTACTACCCTGCTTTTGTCACCGATCAGCGCTTCTGTGGACAGCTGTGCAGAGGCTTTTTCCTGCTCTGGCTATGGCCTCTTCTGCGTGAAGGGGCAAAGCGACCTCTCAAAGAAGAGGATATCTACGAGTGCCCTGCCCATCAAATGGTGCTGAGGGTGGAGTACCCCCAAAGGCGGGCACTAGCCAGTAGTCTCGTGAAAAACTGCCAAGGAAGAGGGAGTTTGCATGTATTTGCTGTAAGCATGGGCCTCGTGGAAGCCTCACGGGCTGCACGACTGAGGGTCAGATCTGCTGAACCCCAAAGCCCTCCGTCAATTTCGTTGCGGCATAGCTTGCTGCTGAGGATTCCGCGACCCCTCAGGGCAGAGGCATTGGATCCTTGCTGGCACCGTAACATCGGAGCGAAAACAGGCCACACATCCATCCTGTGGCTGCTCCTCAGAACCTTTGGCTGGAGATGCTTGACTTGTCTTGGTATTGCTTTGGATCCTGATGAGACTTCACATCCTTGACCCCTCAAAAAGTGAAATGAGACGCCGTGTTCCAATTCTCAAAATCAATTGCTAGAATAAATCTGAATCTTCCCAGTGGTTTTCGTTCTCGTTCCGCAGTACCTCAATCTTTGCCCAACTAAGCGCCTGAAGACTTGACGCAGTATTCTTTGGCCAGAAGACAGGTGGTGCCCCAGTGCCAACAATTAACTGTAAACTTTCCGTCCGTCCCATCCCTTCCATCTCGAGCCCACGACTCATAACCCGCAGTGAAGGATATATTTTCATCCTCTTCACCTTTACCTTCTGGCTCAGCAGTCTTTCAATGGTTCCACTGCTCACAGACACTCTCTTTCAGTGGCTGGCGACAGGCAGGTGAAGCAACAAGACACTCCTAAAGAAGGCTATAGAAAGGGAGGCTATCCAGGAGTTGGGGTCAATACTTGATGCTACATTCTTGGCATAGTGGACGGCCCAGTGACGCTTCAGAACACCTTTCGACCACTTTGGAAGGCTTTGCCATCGTTTGCCTTGTCAGGCGACAGCACACTGGAGGGCTTAGCTTGGTCCATGCTGCTTGTAGGGAGCTGCTCGGTCTGGACTCTGAAGAGGTTTGAGGGGAGGATTGAGATCAACGCTGGGCGACTTTTTCAAAGTGTGGATCTCACCTCTCACCCAAAATGCATAACAGGAAACTGAATTTGGAGCAGGTAGGACTTGGATTAAGCCCGCATCTCAAGGAAGACAGTGGCCTCCTGATGTTGTGTTCGAATTGTGGGGATGCTGCTAATTTCCAGGATTTCCGCTCAATTCCAGGGATTGTCAGCAGCTAACATGATGACATCCCAGCTGCAGCATTTCGTCCGACTGGCAATCTACACATGCATACATTATCTAATATTGGGGCCCCATATTTCTGGATGGATGGGTTCGCACACACAGACACAGATTCCCTAATTGGGGTCTCACAATTTGTGTCTTGTTTAATATCGATATCCCACACTGCTAACAGGAAAGGGACGATCGGCATCGTCAAGTAACATTGCTGCGACATGTCTTTCAGTGCCGGCTACATGTACAGGGCAAATGAGCATCCACCACTGACCAAGAAGGCTTCAGACCTCCGAACAATCCACGAAATCATGAAGCACAGTGGGCGGCCATTAAACGCTGCGGTATGTTTTGGCTCTGAGGCTACCTGGTGAATTGCAACTCCGCCTGCCAGTGGTATCAGCAAACCACCCGTTTAGGCTGCGAGCTTCGGGCATCGGCCGCCATGATGGCGCCTCCAGCTGGTCCAGCGTGTTTCGGGGCACGGAAGGAGGGTCCATGTCCGTGCAACGGCATCAAACGGCATGGAGGGTTAAACACACCAGAGGTTTCTCTTCACTTGCCAATGAACGTCTTGTGTTCATGTTTTATAGATCTAGCAATACAATCCGGGGATTCTTTCCAAGTGTTTAAAAGAGACTTTACTACTTATTTGAAGAAGATTCCAAAATTACTGGCAGCACCCCAGAATACTAGATCTTTTGATGATCTGATTGGGAAAAAGTGGTCGCTGCTACACGTATCGTGCATCTGCATATACAACATACACACACACACACCTGCAGCTTTGCTAGCGTCACTTTCGATCAGCCCCTTTGCAGTCCCTTGCCTTGCCTACACCGTTTGCAGCAGAAGTGGCTGCAGCTGCTGATGTCCCTACACATGAATCCCGTGGTGCAGATCTCAAGGCAGTGAGACAAGAGATGCCAAGATGAAGTCAAGCTCCACATTCACATACATCATCATCACCACTACCACCACCATCATCGTTGTCGTCATCATCATCACCATCTACAGCACCAAGTCCAAAGAGCAACAAGTTCCGAGGCAGCAAGCTCGAAGTCAAAACCCTTAAAAACTTTGTTTGAACGCCAGCTGATTGAAGAACTCACGGAAGCCATCCACGTCACCAGGAGAGCGAGGTGAACATGCACAACTTCAGTACCTTTGCAGTGAGCTGGCTGAGCATCACCGCCGGAACACCCCAGGAAGAGAAGGCCCCAACAGGACAGTTCGGAGTTGCGGGAGAAAAGCTTCAAGAAACGAGGGCAACCAGGGCAGAGAAGAAGAGAAGGATGACGACGAGGGCCAGAAGAAGGCGCGCAACCTGTGAGGGAGCAGCCAACCACCTGGAGATAGGTACTGAAGAGACCCGAAGAAGGAGAAGACGGGACTCGACCTAAAGGCCGGACTCCCCCGCCCACCAAACTTGGCACTCCGGGCATCAGGCCCGAATTGAAAGAGGAAGGACGAAGGCATTGGCAAGAATGAGGAGGTACGGAAGGACCTTGACGTAGTGCAGCAAGTAGGACGCGAAGAAAGCAGAAGGAGAAGAAGAAGAAGAAGAGGAAGAGGAAGAGGAAGAGGAAGAGGAAGAGGAAGAGGAGGAGGAGGAAGAGGAGGAGGAAGAAGAAGAGGAGGAGGAGGAAGAAGAAGAAGGAGAGAAAGAGGAAGAAGGAGAGAAAGAGGACGAGGACGAGGACGAGGACGGAGGAGGAGGAGGAGGAGACGGCGCGTGAGGGCCTGAATATATAAAGGGTGTGTTCCCCTGCTATAATTCAACCCGTTCACAGTTGAAACAACTTGAGTACAAGTGCGCGCTTTAGTAGTGTACACACACACACACACCAAGATGTAGAGACATACACAAAGGAATTTGGAAGCTAGAGCTGGAGCCCTTTGTTTTCCGGTCGGCGCTGCACTCAGGTCTTTCGCAGAAGTCTCCAACTGCGGGTGCAAGATACCAACAGAGATGCTGCACTGAATTTGTTGCAGGCCGGTAGCAAGAGCAATGTGAAATTTGGAATGAGACTCATTGGTGCCAAACAAGTCCTTGAGGGCTTTGATGGAACGCTAAGCATGTACTGTATTGGTTGCGCTGCATGCCCAGATTGGGTCCATATTGGCCGGTTGGATGAGCTGTGCAGGTTGACACGGAGAGGTTGTACATTTTCGCGCAGTTGAACCACCTCATTTATGTAGCATCTCAGTGTGCAGCCAGCTTGGGTTGAGTTTGCGCCCCGCGAGCATGACAGAGCCTTGTTTTTCTGAATGGGCTCATCAACCGAGGCATTGGTCGTGGTGACAGTGTCCATGATCTATTTGTATTTTGGCAGTCGTTAGCCATCAGCTTGCATTCTTCCCCTTCCTCCCTGACCGACCAACGGAACATTTGGAACACCCTACAGTTTGGGTTGACCACTAGAGCATACCAAAGACCTCCTATGAAGGCCTCGCAGTGGCATCAGTGGCCATGGGCGTTTTGGTGAGCACCGTGTTCCTACAAACCGTCGTGAGCCGGATCGCCACTCCTGCACGGAGGCGCATGCAGCAGCAGCTTGGATTGAATGGTTTGGGGGTGAAGGTGAACACCTAGCAGCTTTAGCAGGGATAAGTCTGAAGAAGTAGCCAGTGCTAGAAGATTTGAACATTGCAGTGTGGAGAAAGATAGGATGTTACAGTTAGGAAGTCTTGTTCAAAGCTCAAAGCCTGGGTTTGGCGGGGGTTCAGGTGCAGCGACCAACGAATCTCGCTGACGGCGGAGATCCTTGACGTTTCTTGTCGCCGTATGCGGTCGTTGTGGGCGGACCTCGGTGGGCTGCAAATCAAAAGACTAGCAGGGGACCCGGACAGGACCCGGATTTCATTGTGCATTCAGATTACGATTTTCAGTTCTAAGCTACAATTTTCAGATGCAACCCATGGAAGTAGGTATCTTTGGGCTTTGGAGCATTCATCACTGGCGGTGAACGAGAAATGCATCGAGGCTGTAAAAGTCTTAAAAATGTATGGATGGACCGACGCCTTGCAACGCAGAGTGGAGGACAGCTTAGGTTTTGAGTTCCATTCCATGATGTTCCATGCCTACTCCAGACTTTCTGCTTTTCTTTTCTGGAAATAGCCGCAATACTCCCTCTCTTCTGCTGAAAAGGGCTTGCCACAATTGCTATCAACATTGTACATCGGGATAAACCTTCGCTGCGGACAGTTGCCGCAGGAGATTCGGAACAGAGAGCTTCGTCATGCTCGCGTCTATTTGGGCATCCGAGCATTTAGTAGCGCTCTTCTATACTCTTCTCCGTCCTTGTCCATGGCCTCGGTCCTTTTGATGATGTATCTTCAAGGGTGACTGGGATTTGCATAGAGGATCACGCAGCCTTTCCCTTTCACAAGCAAAACGTGCGGGTTGTCATTGGTCTCACGGCCTTTGCTGCGAATGTTTTTTTTGTGGCTTTGAACTCTCCAAAGAACCCACTATCGTAGGCTTGGCATGCGCACTGCTTGCCTTGGGTGGATTCATAGGGGCTGTGAAACGACTTGCTTCATAATATGGGCGCGAGATGCCAGTGGCTCTTTCGTGCTAGGGCGGGAATTGCAGCGGCTTGACCCATGGTCGAAACCTGCAAGCTTTGGTTTGTCTCTGGATTGGGGATGCTATGCCTTGCGAAGTGGGTGTGGGACTCCTCCCCCGGAGGAAAGATCGAAGAACAAATCATGTCGTTTCGATTGCCGAGTTCAGACACTGCTCAAGGGAAAGCACGCTCCACAAATTGCCCCCGTTCAGCAGCTTGCGCTGCTTCGCTCCGCTTTGGCTAGGAAGGAGCTCTCGGCTGAGCGGGTCTTCATCATTTTCACGACCATCGGCCTCTCCCGTGCACCCTTGGGCGGTGTCAGCATGGGCGTCACCGCCGTGGTGGATGGCCTCACGGCCTTCCGACGGCTCAGCGGCTTCGTGGCCCAAGGAGCCTCGGATGTGTTGAGAGGTGACTTGGGGGTCTTGGAACATGTTGGAACATGTTTGAACTTGAGCAGGTCAGTGAAGATATATTGATTCGATGTCCAGCTCTGGGTTCAGACACATCACACCAGGGAATTTGTTGTATGGAGCATGGATGAACATATATATATATAATATATGGACGCCTATCAATACAGTTGGTGTTTTCAAAACCATTGAGAGGCATCCATATATGTAATTATGTATATATAAATATGTATATATGTATATACACACATACTTAGGTCAAGGGTTGAATCAAGGGTGCACGAGGACTTCCGTGCTGGTGAAATTTGGCGTCCTAAATCTCTCAGGGCCGGGTACGATGTTTGGCTTCGCGGCTCTCCAGGTGGGTGCATCAAATGGTGGATGATGCACCCACACACACACAATTTGCTCTGAGTAGATGAATATTCAGCATCAACGCCATGCACCTGGATATGTGGAAAACGAGCAAGGTGGATCGAGTTTGCAAAGCAAGCAAGAAGCTTTCCTTCACTCCATTGCCAAGGTTTCAATCTTCAGTAAAGAGCTCGAGAATCCAGGTGTTCAGGGCTGAGGTGCCAGGCTGTGGGGAAGGCAAGTGGAGGTGGAGGTCACAGCTCAGAGTGTCCCCAATCTCAGGCCATTTTGACCTCTACCAGGAGGACCTCCTAGGCCAGCCTGACAAGCCAGTCCCCACCCCGGGGCTGGACGGGTGCTTTGAATGTGCCAGAGTCTCGGGATGCTTTTCCCATCGCACAAAGCCATGCCTGTCTGTGGAGCTCGAGCTGAAGCCAGGCAGCTGGGGGGCTGAGAGGAAGAGAACCCCAATTTCAACGAGCTCTGTCTTTACATATCACTTTGTCCAGCTCAGAACATGCTATAACTATTCACAAAAAGTAGCAAAACAATCTTGAATCTTAAAGCGACAAGGTTCTGCATTGTTTAGAAATACTGTACCGCTGCTTGACTTGGTGAACCTGTGTTGAAGTGCGGGTCCCCTATTTATCAGTTGGTTTGCCCCACACTCTACACACCAGAAGATGCAAGAAAAGCAGGTTAGAAGATGTTAGAAGCTAGAAGCATGTTCGACTGAGCAGAAAGGAAGACATTTGTGGCATGTCAGTTAATGGATGGCTTTGTTTCTTAACCGATGCCAAGTGGGAAACTAGCACAGAACGTACCGTGCTCGTCCTTCACTTATCAAAGAACAATGATGATTTCAGCGGGATGAGGCGTAGAGACTTTGGACCGGAGTGCGACTGTCCATTCTTTTCCCTCAAAGATCATTGAGAACTTCTGGGTAGTTGGTTCTGCAGATGTCCTTCCTGACTTAGAGTGGTGGGATATGTTGGAAGTCTTTTGTGTTCCCTTCAATGCGCGCCCACACATAAATGAGATGCAAGGGAACCACAGAATTGCGTGCACGCGGCTTCTGGCCAGACCAATGGCCGTCTCAAGCATGAGAAAACACATCAGATATCCAGTCGGATGAATGATATGGCCGATATGGCCATGAACAGTTTTGGAGCAACTCCTCGGGGTGAAGATGTGTGGCTTTAACTTTGCAATGTATGACCTTCAAAGTCATGGGGATAGATGTGCAAGGGGTGGGATTGGAAGCGTTTCAATCGGGTGCGTTTCTCCTTTTTGGTATATTGATGCATAATGACACGTGTATATATATATATATATATATAGTATATTGTAGTGTAGTGTAGTGTAGTCTAGTATATAGGATAGGATAGGATGGTATAGTATATCTATATACTAGTACATAGTATATAGTGTATATATATATATTATATCTTTGATATACTGGCGACCGAGAGATGCAGCGACCCATGTGCTGTGCAGGTGAATTAGTTGCGGTCTGTGGGAAGGTGGCTAGGCCGCAGCTGCGCTTGGGATTTGGAAAAGTTGCGCGCAGTTGAGGACCACCGCCTTTGGAGTTTTATTCCCACCGTTGGGTAATGGGAAGGAAGCAAAGTCTCATGCAGCCTCCACAGTGTAGTGTCGCAGATATGGCTTCAAAACCCTTGCACATGGATCGCTCAAGATTTCACCGCTACCCTTTCACGCTTTCATGACGTGATCCTCATTCCTACACATCTGTAGGGCGTCATGAGCCTTTCAACACTTCAACCTCCAGAGTGGCTCGGGGACAATTCGACTTGTTTTGAACAACGGATCAACTCAGGCTTTGGCTGTGTTTCATACAAACCAGTGGAGTTTCTGCCGAATATTCCTATCATGATATGGCAGGGTATTGCTTTCCTCCTCTGTTGAGTCTGAGGCATTTTTGTCCTCTCTTCTACCCCAAATCCAACATGTGCTGCGTCTTCCTGCAAATGGTTTGACGATGAGTGCAATGTATGACAGGGGTGGAGCAGGTTATCCAAGACGATGCACGTCCTGGAAAGCTTCAAGACTCTTTTTTGGACTGCCAGCGCTCTTTTGTCTCAGGTGGCGGCAGGGAAATCCTCGCTTCTCCTGGCCCTGCTTGGAGAGATGCAGGGCGGCCATAGCAACGTGCCGTCAGGCGGGAGAAGATCCAATGGCAGGACTCTATACCTGTATTCATTTCAGTTTGTAAAGTATGTCTCGGACCGAAGCAGTGTGGAGTCTCGTTGGTAAAAAGAGCATCGCTGAAATGATTGACTAGTCCCCTCATGTGACTATGTGGTTGTATTTGGTTGCAGTATATGGCCAAGCTCTTTCTGGATGAAAGGAAGGCAAGGAGCTTTTGCCACAGGTCGATCCCCACCCAAATCCCCTCTCATCATGAGGGGTTTCCTGTTGCAAGACTAACCTCCAGGTGTCGCATATTTGGCGCAAAGCCCATGGATTCGGTCTGGCACTGTTCGAGAAGCTGTCGTGCAAGAGCTTCCCTTTGAGAAGAAGCATTACTGGTGTCCTGGCATGATAGAGTTGCCTGGTTTGTGTGCTCAGCGTGAACAGGTCACAGGTGGGGTTCAACAATGCCGGATTGAGGAGTGTACGAGGCGTTTTGTGGTTCCTGTTGGTTAGCACCTCACGAGCCAAGGCGGGCGGTGCGCGCTGCTCAGCTGCTTCCAGATTTCCGAGCATGGAAGGGAGACGGCCATCCGGTTGGCGCCAGGCAGGGAGAGGTGCATTTGAAGAACGGTCGTTTCTTTTGTTAGGAACAAAGGGCATTGCTACTAGGAGCAAGGACGCTACTAGGGGCTCCTGGCCTTACTATATACTAGTAACAAGAAGCTATTAGGAGCTGAGATTTGTAGAGTCCAGTCTACTTTTCACGACTCGGAGTGCTTCTAAGCTTGCAGGGGTGCCACACTCTCTGGCGGCCAGCGAGCAAGGTGGGCGGGTGGGTGGTTGGGAGGCAATGTGTGAGGTTCTGAGTGTCGAACATCGAGTGACTCAGTGACAGATCTAGCTTCACCTTTTTTGCAGTGTCAAACGCCTCAACGCATCCTTTTTGGAGAAACATCATCCACGACTCGGCTTCTGGAGTCTGCAGCATGAACCAGTCCTCCTGCAGGTCGTCGACTGTGACAAGAGGAAGTTCTTGAACACAGCATAATAAAGTAATGATGTAAGAGTATGGAACAAGCTTTAAGTAGTATTTCCTGACTACTAGGACATCCAACAAGAACATGTTCAATGTTCATTAATATTCTTGCACGCAGCCTTTTGTCACAGGCTTGGCCTGGCACAGATCCTCTACCGCTGCTCGGCTGATATTGGGTGGTGTGGCTTTCATCAGGGTTTGTGAGAGTATGGATGCAGGAGCAGAAAGGCTCAGAAACACCGCGCGTGAAATCCAATCCAGCATCCAAGGCTCTTGCATGGCGTTTGATTGAACCATCCAATGTGGACTTGTATTTACAAAAGCCTGTATATATATTATCTAGCTACTAGGAACAAGTGCATCGCTTCTAGTAACAAGTGCCTTACTAGTAATAACAAGAAGCTATTAGAAACAATATATAACTTGTATTTACAAAAACCCGATTTTCTTTTCTTTCCAAAGCGCCTTACGTGGTTTTCTTACTTTGACTTTTCTCCGACCCGTGATGATCTGACCAAGAGGACTCTTGGGGCTCACCCAGAAAATTGGCCTTGCTGTTTGGCTTGGAAGGGTTCCGTGAACGGTTTTGTCTTCTGGGTGGCCATTACCAACATTGCTGATGTTTTTTGGACATGTTCTCACCTGCATGAACAACAGGTTGTTCCACTCGTGACTAAAGAGAGCAGAGAAAACACGGCAAGGTTTCTTGTTTCAATTCTAATTAAGTTTAGATTAATTCAAATTCTATTCCATTATTCTTTCTAATAGCTTCTTGCTCCTAGTAACTAGTAAGGCCAGGAGCTCCTAGTAGCGTCCTTGCTCCTAGTAGTAAGGCCAGGAGCCCCTAGCAGCGTCCTTGCTCCTAGGTTGTTTGGTATCTGATGTGAACCTGGTCCTCCTGGATGACTGCCTAGCAGCCGTGGACGTCCATGTGGCGAAGGCCATTTGCGAAGAAGCTCTGCTGGGCGTGTTGCTGGATGGCCAGAGGACACGGTAGCCGTTTGTTTTTGCTTCCTCCAGCTGCCGCGTTGCGTAACCGATGATGGAGTTCAATGGAAGCGTCCTTGCTCCTAGTAGCGATGCCAGGAGCCCCCAGTAGCTTCTTGTTCCTAGTAGTAAGGCCAGGAGCCCCTAGTAGCGTGTTTGCTCCAAGAAGCGATGCCCTTTGTTCCCAGTTGCGAGGTTGTTCAATTCAACGGCCGGATCAGGACAGTGGTGATGGTCATGAACTCCAGCCTTTTGGCACTTCCCGAGGCTCATCGCATCGTTCACCTGGCGCCCTCGTCCAGCTCTGCGAGCGAGTGTGAAAGCGGTGCGCCCTCATCGGCGCAGGTCTTCCCAAGCCTTGAAGCATGGCACACAGCTGTTGGTGACAAAGGTCTTCCGCCGAAAGCCTCGAAGATCCAGAGGAAGTGGGTGGGCTCGGATGTGCTTATCAAGCTTTTGCCAAGTTTAAATTCTAAACAGAATTTCTGTGGACTGTTTGGATGGGTACTTTTGACTTTGACCACTCGTACGGAGAGTTTTTTGAACAAGAAGTTCAGCACTCCAAGTCTTGCAGAGCTTGGGTTTTCTGATTCAAACTTCTGTTTGAAGGCCCTGATACCAACTTTCTGCCAAGTTTGGAACCCTGGTGCCAGTGGAGCCAGGCCCGATCGCCATCTTTCACCATGTTTAGCAACTTTCCGCCTGGAATCCGGGAACCCGAAGAACTCTTGAAATCATCAGGTACTGAAACCGCAACTGTTTGCCTCAAAAGCTCAAACCCTGAAACGTGGTTACGCGAGGACGGGCGACTGCAGTCTCGTGAGTTTTCTGATCCAAGTGTCTTCGGGGTCTATGCTGGTGTATGTGTAGTGTATGTGTATAATTCTGTATAGTAGCTTACATATACATATAACATAATTGGTGCAATTAGACCGTCTATTCTGTTTACCCTTCAGCCTTCAGCAACTCCAAGGTGTCGGATGAGGAGGAGGCGTTTGAGGCCGATGCTGGGGCCGTTCTAGAGAAGGCAGAGGTGTCGATGCTGGGAAGACTGAGCTGGAAGACCTTAACCTATTATTTTGGATCTGGGCGTCCTGGTCTTGGCTTGGGCTGCCTGGCCTGCATCTTGACCAGCATGGCCTCTGTTGAAGCCTTGCGCGTGTACTCCGACCACTTCATGGCGGTTTGGGCTGATAGGGATTCCTTGAATTCTGAGGAGGACAGGGGTCCAACGGCAGAGTTCTCCGCTTTGTTGACTATGTTGGCATGATGCCCCAAAACGACAACAGCGATGAAACTGAATCAACACCTGTGAGCTGCATTTTCCAGCCCTACAATGATGTGTTTGAAGGGTCTAGAGTTTTAGGCGACCACCCCTTAAACGGTCGAATCCGAAAACAACAATCGACTCAATAGACTCACCAGAAAATCAAACATACAAAGCCAGAAAACCATAACATACTCACAAAATCCGGATGATAATTGATTGGTAATTAACTTTGACCGTGGCCCACTGTTTCGAAACGATGCTTTGGAAGGCCTCAATAAAAGGCCACACTAGTCAGTGGTGTCCATGAAGACTGTGCGATGAGGATTCCTCCAAGGACTTCCAAACCTATGGTGCCTGGATGACTTTCGCCCTCGTGGGTGCCTTCCTTCGTGCATGGCTGGTGGTCGCCTTGGCCCTGAGGTGCAGGTTTTTGAAGAATCGACGGACACATTGACAGATTCTGAATGGGATACTCATGACAGTTCCGTGCGCGCACAAGTCGAACTTGAATTGTGACATGGTTTGAACACAAGCTCTTGGTGTGCTTATGGATTGGGGGCAGGGGTGCCATGGAGGTCACCATGAAACCAACATTCATAGAGCTCTTTTCGTAGCTGTCCTCCCTGGATTTGATTTTCGCAGGTCTTCACGTGAGCTTCACACGCGCTTGTTCGGGCGTCTGATGGCGGCTTCCTTGGACTTCTTCGAGTCCACGCCACGGGGGCGGATCTTGGGGCATTTCTCCAAGGACATCGATGCCGTGGATGCCCTGCTGCCGCAGTACTTGTTGGACTTCCTGCAGGAGAATGCTTTGCTGGGCTGGGGGGAAGGCAACTGAGCGACTCTATAAACCATTATAAACCTCCATGTTCATGTTTTAGGGGTGGGCTTGTCATATGAGTGGTTTGCGTAAGCAAAGCCTTGGTGTGCGTGAGGTTGCGCAAGCTTTGTCTGGGAGATAGGAGTTGCGCAAGCACGCCCAAGTTTCATCATAATTACATGTCATGTCACCTTTACACATAAATTTGCACTATTTATGGAAAACCTTCCTGTACCATTGAAACATGCAATGCAGGGTGTGTTTCTGACGAGCTGCTTGAACATCCTTAGAAGACGCACAGAACTGAAGAACAACCAACTGCCAGATCTTTTTTGCTGGAAATGCGGTGTGTGCTAAGCTGTGACTGCGGTGTGGTGTAAAAATGCCTTGCATAAGTCATAAGTGCTTCGTCAGCCCCTTCTTGCAAGAACTGCGTGCATAAGATGCGTTTGTGGTCGCGTAAGGGGCGCGTAAGCCATGGCGTAAGAAAATTCTTACGACATAGGCAGATGCCATAGGTTTTTGAGAGCCACTCAACTGGGATGATTTATTTTTATATACGTCCGTAGGATTTTGCCAATGTGGCTCCATGTCAACATCCGTTTGATCGTGGCCATGTACCCCCAAATATTGACAGTGTCAAAGTCGCTTGGCTTGACAAGGGTCATCGTCCAGCAGCTAATTTGAGCTGATCCTTCATATATTATATGTCTTTCCACTGAGGGCCTCACGTAAGGGTCCTAAGTCGCAGTACCCAACCGGAAGGACGCAAAGTTTAGGCGAGCGTAACCATCCCCGTTTACTCTCTGAACCACGAACTCTTGCCTTTCCTGCATCACCAAGCTTCACACTGGGCGTGTGATAGGAGCGTGAGAAGCTCTGAGCCTTTTGGGTTGTTTTGGAAGTCTTCCATATGTGCTGAAGGAGCTTCTTTAGAAATCCTTGGCTTCCCCAGCGAGAGCCAGAAGTACACATCCCAAACCATTTGCTCCTAGAAATTCGGTATTTCCAACAGATCCATTTTACATCAAGGACATCACCATGCTCCTGGGCATCGTGGTGGTTTGCGTTTCTTCCACGCCTGTTGCCGCTGTGGCCGTGGCACCGGTGCCTGGGCAAGACAGAACCCCAGGCAAAGGCCGATTTTTGGATTATTCCCAGAATGCTTTTGCTGGCCGTGGGTTTTCTCATGTTTTCTCCATCGGACCGTTGATGAAGGGAGTTATATGTATATATATATATATATAGTTGTATCAAGTCATGTTACCTCGCGGTATATCATGAAACAGCTTGCTGGTTTTGATACTTCGTGATGCAGCTGTCTGAAAGCTGCACATCGCTAGAGCATCGCTGAACTTGATGGTCACGTTTGTGTTTTTGTCACCCCCAAGCCTTCGTCGCCTGAGGTTCTGTTCGCCTTCTACCGGATTCGCAGCTTTTTCAGCTGCAGCTGGGCCTTTAGAGAGAAACTGGTGTGAAAGGGCGCGTCGCACGTGGTGCGCCCAATTAGGAACATTCTGTCCAAGACTCGTTCAGAAACCTGCTGCTTGCCACTTTTTCATAGAGTTGACCGCAGCACAGAGATGAACAGAGTGTGGATAAAGGTTGGGAGCGCCACACTCTGCACATCTCTGTGCTGCAAGTCAATTTGATCGTTTCCGCCAGTTTCCGTCCTCCATGTCGCGCCAAAGGCACTGCAAGGGAGACGAAGCGCCTGGACGGGGTCACCCGTGGTCCGCTGTACTCTGCGGTTGGCGACGTGGCAGATGGCCTGGCCACGCTTCGGGCCCATCGACAGCAGAGGCGGCCGCAAGAGAAGCAGTACAAAACAATAGAGATGTTCAATTGCGGCAAGGAACGACATAGGTTCACAGATGAACATACCATAACATACCCCCAAATAGTCCCAAATACAGTCTTTTGATGTCTTTTGCATGATGAGCAGCAACAAAGCGAACACGAGGGTCATCAACATTGGTTGGAGGAACCTCTCACTCTCATGTCATCGTTTTTCTTCCAAAAAAAGGATCTCCAAGAAGTCGAACGTGAGTGCCCTTTCATTTTGGGTGGACGAGGTGTCAAGATAAGTCATCGGCACATCAGTCGGCGACTGTCCCAAGATCTTGGACGGATTTCCACAAAAGAGGCACAGAAGAAAGTTCCCGCTTTGGACTCTGTTGGCAGTAGACCAACTCAAATCTCCAAACTGCAGGAGCCTGGTGCAAGACTTCCAGAAGATCTTGGACCGCAATGGGAAGGTCTTCTTTCAAACCTCGGTCCTTCAGCCCTGGTGTATCTTGGCTTTGCCTTGTTTGGACGTCAAACGAACATTTGGGACCCCCTTTAGCTCAAGACTGACCAAGCTTTTGGGGATACCCAGAAGCTGTCGCAAGGCATCCTGGTGTTGGACAGCTTGGGTTCCGCCATCGTTTTGATCACCTCAGTCTTCTGCGTCTTCTTGCGGGCGGACTTGGAGGCCAGGGGCTCGACCGGCACACAGTTCTCGATACTGACGCGAGACACGTTTCTACAAAGATTGAACCTTCCACAGTTCACTCTTGCTCTCCACACCTTGCCAAGTGTTTGGTGGTCAACCCAACAATTTGAAGAGTTTGCTTCACTGATAAGCTGCATACAGTCAGCATCTCTTCACGCCATGACTCACAAAGCGTCTGATTGGAGACCCAGAGGGGCTGGTGACCAAGGCCCGCACCTCTACGATGGCCATCTCCTACGCTTTGATGACCAGAGGGAAGCTCCAGTTTTGCCCCGAGACGGAATCAGCGCAAATTAGTGGGCCCCTAATTCTTTTGGAACTTTATATAAGCAGAGGACCATATTGGACAATGGATTTGTTCAGTCTCCCGTGCTCAATGATCGATAGCAACAAAGTTGGTGTCAACAGTTTTTGACTATGAGTCAAACACATCATCAACCCGCAATCCATCCGAATCCCAGTTTGCAGGAGAAATACATAATATATATATATATACACACACATTTTTGTTCTCGGAGCTTCCAGATACAGTACTCAAATTCACACCCCTCCAACTCATCTCAAACATCTCAAACATAGCCAGGGCCATGACGCCGCCTAAGTTCGGATCGAAGCCAAGATCCAAACTGAAGGTCTAACGGATTTTAGACTTGAAGGTCTGACGGATTTAAGCTCCGCCGCCATTTTCAATGGTCTGAGTAGAGCAGAACAAAGGCCTCTCCATACCTTCAGTGGTTCCCCCTGAATGCCGAGGCATCCGTCTCTCAATCGAAACAGAAAATCAGTCACTTGGCCAGGTACGTGAGAATGGAGACCCACCCTGAATGTGTGAAACGAGTGGAATCTGACAAGTTTTGAAGTGCACATGGGCTATCGTACGTTATATCTTGCTTGCTGAGCTTCACTTCTTGGGCACGCTTCCGCAAGGCTTCAGGGACGTGCGCTACAAACACCAGCAAACATGGGTCGCATGTGTTCCCTGAACAATTCTACAGATCCCGGATCTTGCTACACACCGCAATCCCAGATGAGCAAAACATAGCCGCTAACCTAAACCACCAAAACCAGATCTTACTGAAGGGGCTGTACATTCGCACATTTTTGCAGAGACGTCCCTTTCTACCTAGATCTCACCAAGTTCAAAAAACAGCTGAACGCAGACTGCGTTACTGGCGTTACGCAGTGCGAGGTTTGTAGCTGCTGAACGCCTTCAGATCTTCGAGGCCCAGCTGCTCTCCTCCATTGAGGCGCATCCTGAGGTGAAGGAGGTCTCGATGCCAGTGGAGTGGCCCCAAGGCCGGGGTGTTGTTGCTTGCTTCCTCGAATGGTGGTCTTACCTTCCTCTCTCTAATTTGTAAGAATCATTTCCACTTCCTTTTTTCAAATTCGATCAACCATTCAAGATGCAAATGAAGCGTTCGAACACGAAACACTGGCTTTTGATCTGAGAATCTGAGCATGCATAGAGAGTCATGGAAGTTGTCGGGGTTGTATGTGAGCAAATGATTTTGTGGCAGGGTGTGGGAATCGCGAAGGGACAACACATTTGTAGGACATACAGGGACAGTTTCCCTTTCTATCCATTCTCGGGCATAGAGCGACCACCTTGATTAATTATTCGATAGCGTCGACTGGCGACGCAGCGGTTGCTTGCGGCGGCAGCTGGCTAGTTATTGTTGAGATGCTTTGTATGTGATTTAGCTTCATTGAACTTTGCGTCGACTCCCTCAGCCAGGCGGTGCCATCGACTTCCAGGAGGTAAAGATGCACTACCAAGTGAGCTCGCTGGAACCGGTGCTGAAGGGCTTGAGCTTGAAGGTGAAGGCTGGTCAGAAGGTAGGGCTGGTCACTTGGCCGGGATGGCTTGTCACTTTGGGCATGGCCCACGAATCGGGTGCACCTGAAGAGACCCATTGGTGAAGGGAAAACGAGACAAACAGAGCCGACACTGGGAAACATTACTCTACATGCCAGCCTGGTTTGCAGCTTGTTTGGATCCTTTCCTTGAAAACACATGTGCAAAGTGCAAATGAGTCATAGCGTGCTGAGGTCGGCCGCACAGGTAGTGGGAAGTCGAGCTTGTTGAGCGCACTCCTGCGGATCGTGGAGGTGACCTCAGGGAAGATCTTGGTGGATGGCCCCTCGGGAAGGACTGAGGGTAGAATCGCGTAGAAGCTGAGTGTGTCCGGAAGCCTCAAGAAGCCCAGTATTTTCTAAACAAGTGCTCTCTTTTGTAAGACTTTGATCCGCTCCATTGGACCTCTGAGGCCTAAACATCGCGCAGGTGCCAGTGGCCCGCCTTCGAGCAGCAATCTCTCTGGTGCCCCAGGCACGGTGGAGGTTTAGTGTTTTCCCAGCTTCAAGAGGCACGGTCATGAATGCTTTTCCCAACAGATTTGCCAAGAACAGAACCTTCAAAAGCCTTGAAGCGAAGATTTGAGGGTCTGATTCTGATTTTGAGACAGTCCCAAAACAGGCGGCTCACTCTTGCTGAATTCACCCGATGAAAGCGTCGTTTTGAATTGGGGGCTGGTTGGCCCAGAGTGTTTATTTATTCCACGATGACTCTGTCTATATGGGAGGCCCCCCTTGACATGGAAGACGTTGGATGCTGATCAATATTTGACTCAATGTTTCACAGTAGACCAAGCCGCAGGTGGAAGCAGCTCACAGATGTGAACAGCCACCAGAAAACAGGGGAAATGGAGAAAAAACAGGTCCAAAGAAGAAAGGTGAAGATCTAAAGAAAAGATCCCCAAGAAGGAAAAACAAAAGGTTTAAAGAAATAACACAATTGGTTTCAACATAATATTATCCTGGCAAGAGACCCCACACAGTGTTGCATGAGAATTGTGCAAGAGAACCTCTCACATTTGTCCAGAGCTTCATGTCGCAGACCTTGAGGTTTGGAGGTCTAAGGTCTAGAGGTGTAGAAGCAGAAGGTCTAGAACGTATTGGGCTCCAGAGAGATCTAGAGGTCCAGAGATCCAGAGGTCTTGAGATCCAGACAAATCTAGAGGTCTAGAGGCCTGGAAAGATCCAAAGGCCAGAGGGTTTGGAGGCCCTCAGATCCAGGCAGATCAAGGCTCTTGGCCTAGAGCTCTTCAAATCCAGAGAGGTCTTGAGATCTAGAGTCCTGCAAATCCGGAGGTCTCCAGGTCTAGAGGTCTAGAGGCCCAGGCCTCTCTGCGCGTGCTGCAAAATCCACCGTTCGAAGTTGGGCCCAAACGGGCACCAAGACACCGACGCCAAGCTTGCAGCATGTTGGGTTCAACCGGTGTCAAGGTGGATGTTGGCGGTCACGGACCGGCGCTGGCATAAAATCGGCTATGTCAGACGCCGACGATCAAAGTTCCATGAAGCTGTGCTGTGGAGATGTAGCTGTCATGTGTGTTGTTGCATTCTTGAAGAAGGATTGCATTCCTCATCAATCAGAAGGAATGTGCTGAAAACCAACATCGAAGTGCGCAACAGTAGTTGGGACAGATATTATATAGTTTCTAAAGAGAGGTCTTCTAGGGTCTTCTTAGATTGTGCCTACTCCCATTTGCTCGGCACTAGGAGCCGATCCTCTGGAGCGGTTCCATGGCAGAAAATCTGGATCCCAGCGGCCGCATTGGAGAAGAAGAGTTGGTTGAAGCTTTGCACAAGGCACAAGTATCAGCATTGGACATTGGCATCGAGCAACAATATTGGCAGGTTTATAGCACCTTTTGAAAACCATCATTGCCATCCAATTACTTGGGGCGGTAGTTTAGAAGTCATCCTTGGTCTAACTAGTTGGTGATGTTGGCTTGGCTTGCTCCAGCTGTTTCCAACCGACTTTATGGCCAGGTGCATCTCCATGAGATGTTGGCTCCCATGGGTGGCATTGCGGCTGCTGTGGAGATGCGTGGCAACAACTTCAGCCTCGGGCAGAGGCAATTGATTCTCAGCTGGGCTGTGGGTGGCCTTTTGTGGATTGAGGTAAGAGAACACATGGTCGAAAAATGCTACACTTGCTGCGATACTGCCGAAGATTCATGTGTGCGATTCGGCTATATACGCAGTATTTGGAAGGGTAGATATTGAGATGTTTTCTTGTAAACACTACGAATTAGAGGGATTGACACCATGACCACCAACTTTAATCCTGTTTCCACATGCGCACGGATTCAATACAAACAACTCCTTGCTGGAAGGACATAGATAGCTGAACTGCCAAGACTCTACTGTTACAGGTGAAGGCACCAAACACTTCTGCAGATGTTTGTGCTGTTACAGAATTCTTCATGAACTGTAGCACTGCAGAGCCAAGGATATGTATTGCTCGATGCATAGCCAGAAGCTCGCGCATTGTCTTGGTGGACGAAGCAACATCCTGTGTGGATGGACAGACAGATGCGCTCATACAAGAGGCCAGAACAGTTTTTTGATGTTTTTTTTAAATATAAGATACTGTATATTGACATGTTTTTGCAGGGCTGATGCTTGCCGATGTTTCCACCGACCGCGGCACGTTTGATTGACTTGACTAAAGTCTTGTCTTGGATGCAGCGTTGACCCCTTCATCTAAGGGCACATTGACAAGCAACCTTTAAACACCCTTTTGGCCGATTTCGCCTCCCCAGCCTCTCTCTCTCTCTCACACTGCTCCAACAGGCATTTCAGAAAGACTTCAAGAACTGCACCATGCTAGTCGTGGCACACCGCCTACAGACCGTCATGGATTCAGACCTCATCGCAGTCTTGGACTCGGGGCGAGTGGTGGAAACAGGCGCATGTCACCCTATCCACGTTGCATACGTGGGACATCGTGGGAATGCATAGCAGATGTAGTGGGGTAGCTCCGAGATGTATAGCAACAAGGGATTCTGAACTTGCAAGTGTAGAAGCTGGTATCCCGCATCAGAAGCTGAGAGATCTTGCCCCTATGACGACACGTTGCTCAAACAGATTTCCCTACATCCTAGAACGAATGAATGGATGATTGTCCGTGGTTTCGAAATGGCCATAAATCATTATTCTTGATCTGGAATAGTGAGAATCAGTGGCAATTCCCCACCCACAAGTTCTTTTTTCAAGGGGAGCCCGAATATTCTCACGAGCTGCCAGAATTCCCTCCTGTTCGCCGTTTAATCGAACGGTAGAAGGCGTTTCTTTGAACGGTTGCTGAAGTACTCTAAGTATGCAGATTGGAATTGAAGAAAGCCACTTTCTCTGCCCTGATACTGCACCAGAGAAGGCTCCAATGAGAAGGTTCGCCTGACTCTATTCACTATCCAGAGGCCATCCTGAGAGCTTAGCTGCTCAGAAATCCTCCCACTTCGCTGGTTTGTTGCGAGGATCTCACCTGGTGCCCTGGCGCAGAAGTCAGAGAGAGAGAGAGAGAGGGAGAGAGAGCTGAGAGGCTTTGGTACGGAGGATATGAATGACTGAAGCCATGGTGGACATTGGTGGATGGAATTTTCCACCCACAACGTTTGCTCGTTCTCCAGAAGGGTCTTGGACGTGTTGGTCATGAAGCCGCGTTCGACCACGCACTGAGCCACTTTAAGGCCCATCAGGACGAAGCACAACTGAAGGACAGAGAGCTGTTGAGCCTGTGAACTTTTGACGCTCTCTGTTACATTTGTCAAGTCGTTAGACGTCAGAATCGCTTTGGCATAGAAGACTACCAGAGTCCTTCCAGTGGCATATGCACTTTCAAGACTATGACTATATATCTATATAAATCGTTATGTATGACTAGCAATCCAACTACAGTATCTTGTACAACTATGTAGAATATATAATATAATATAATACTATTAAAATACTATGTTACTGTTACCGGACATGTAACTATATCATATGATACAATGCGCATCAACATATATATATATATGCCTTGGTACGAATGCGTGACACGTGGAGATCGAGGCACTGTAGCTTGGCTGTTCTCTTCCTCCCAAGCTACATCCTGCCTCTCCTGCCGCTCATCCTGTTCCAAAGGAAACAACTAGCAGAATTCGTTTGGATTGGAAGCTACCCTTCCAAAAACCAACGCAGATGTGCATGATGGGCGTGAAACAAATGGAAAAATCAATTTCTGCAGATCTACCAGTGTGCTTGTGTTCGGTCTTTGGAGGGGATCCTGCAGCACTTGGCTGGGGCCTAGCTTCCAGATGCATGGGTTTGGGACCGATTTTCTGCACGCGAACCTGTCGCCTGTGCTGAAGAAGCTCAGTTATGCAGTTCGTTGCAGCAAGAGAAAGATGAATGGATCAGAAGGTTTACTCGTTTTTCCCTGAAACTGGTATCCACTTGCTTTGGTCTCTTCTTTCTTCCTATCCTTCTAGACAGATTGTATCTGCATCGATCCTTCATTGCCCTTCAAACCAAAACCTCTTGAAGGCAGGCAAAGCAGCAAAGCATGCTCCCAATTACTTGACTACCATGAACATGCTGCTTCTGGGCGCAAAGAGCTTCTGCCCTCTCTGCACTTGACGCAGCTTTAAGGTCCATCGTTGGTCGAGCGGGCCAACCATGGGGTCCCTTCAGAAATTGGTCGAGGGACCCGGCCGTTTAGGACCATTGACATCCATTGACCCCAATGCCGAATGACCAAAAGATATCAAACATTTGCTCTTTACGGACTAACTTGCCACTCACTGTGCGACGACGGACCAAGAAAAACCACATAAAGTTCAGACCGACATTAACCAACGACCCCAGTTCTAACTCGTGAGGGTGGATAATTTCAGCCAGGTGGCTGTTTAGGAAAAGTCTCCCGTCAAACCCACCTAGCACCACTGGATGATCAACGCCCCGCTGTGCCATGGACGATGAGCTCCTAGCAACCTGGGCCCGGCTGCCAGCAGAGGAGATCAACATGGTATGGAAGTTTCTCGCAGGTGATTCTTTTGTGAGGCTTGGATGCCATCGCTATTAGGTTGGAGGCCAGGGCCATCGCTATCAAAAGACGAGACTGTTCGAAACTGTCACACGGAACCTTCCAGGGACGCATAGGGGGAAGCAGACAGATACTAGTTACTAGATCGCCACCCCCGTCTGCTGAAGAGCCGGGGCGATTACAGTACCTGAAATTACAATTTCTGAGTTACACAGCGGGAAACAACAAATGTAAAGTGATGAAGTCATACGAGGATAAGCGAGAGGACGATGGATTACACAAAATGTAGCTTTGCCACTCTACCCTTAAAATACATAGCACAAATGTAGCCTGCATGCATGGAGGTCCCCCCTCGTCGGGATGATTATTCTTACTGAGGTTTGGCGTAGGTGTGTGCAGTTGCCTCAAGATTTCCTCCTCGCCACAAAGAACTTGCTTCTAGACTGTAGGTACTGCCGAGGTAGACCTTGAAATCATTGAGAGCCAACAGCAAAAATGTTAACGTATTGATATTACCTTACTGCTCATACAAAATCTCCACCAAACTGTGCCGCGGGGCAAAGTCCGGAGCTAGCACCGCAAGGAGCGCGCGCGACTGCTGTGTGTGCAAGAACCAGCTCCGCGGATCGAATGAGGTCATGTCAAACTGCGAGATGTTTCAATCAACAGGACCATACAGGGTCAACTTATTTAATTTGCCAAGAGTCAGTTCACATAGTCCTATCTTGAGATATGCCAGGCCGGACGGGGATGCACGAAAAGTGCGCACCGAACATGCCAACCCTACCCTCTTGGTTGGTCACGGTACTATGCCTGGGAACCTGTTCCGCTTGAGAGCTCCTAGTTGGTGTGCTGCGTCAAAAGCCTCATGCTGCTTGTTTGGGTCTGCAGAGTGTCGAATTCCAATCAGAAGTGTGCTCTGGACACTTTCTGTGCAAAGTGGATCTGAGGAATGCGTGCGATTGATCGACAGGGGCTCAATTCTGAATATATACTGGGTGTGACTGGAAGTTGAGAGCCACAGGCCGTAGGTTTTGCACAAAAGCTGAACTTGGCGCCAGAATCCACATCCGCACTTTTCAACTTTTCAATCATTCGAACTCTCGGATTGAACCTTGCCACTGAAGCCAACGACTTGAGACACACATTGTACCATCATCCATTTCAGCAAGCAGCAAGAGATCTGCTGAATTGGACTTGTTCAGCTTTTTTAGGGCCACGCAGAGCGCTGAGGACTTGGGCATGCAGATGCTCTGGGCCGCAGAGCTCCAATCCCGGCAATTCGGGGTTTGTGGTTCCTCCGATCCCTTTGACCATGCGCAGCTGCCCCTGCTGGCGACCATGCAGTTCGATGGCTTCATGCACAAAGGTGGGAGCACTCAGCACGGAGTTTCAGTTTCTACTCAGGCCTCCATAGACGAAGAAGTTGAGCAGGGGGATCATACCTCAACTACTGTAATACTGATATTAATTTGTTTGCAGAGGTTCCTTGATCATAAACGGGCATTCAACTGAACATACTGAAACGTGCCATGCTAAAATTGGGATATGTTTGTAGTTGACTAAAATACTCACAGGTGTTTCTCATGCAGAATCTGACGATACCGCTTCATGGACGACCAGTGCGGTCCCAGCTGAGGCCAAAAGGTCTTCAAGTCCGTGAAGTGGCCGAAGGAGTTCCATCAGGAGGGCTCAGAAGCATCAAGGCCTTTCACATTGGGGTGCGCTTAACTTCACTGCTTTTCATGAAACACACCATCCATGCAGAAATCATCAATCATGGATGGTTCTATCTGCCGTGTAGGGCCCAAGGCCTGAGCTCCTGCCTGCCCAGAGGACCCCATGATCTTGGCAAATGCCTTGAGATTCTCTTTGCAGGTGCATGCGCGACGGGAACCCTGTTTCTCAAGCCGCAACTTGCTAACCTCAGCTTTGTCATTTGGATGCAAATGGGTCGGAGATCCACGCGCCAGGCCTCACATGGCAAACGTCGGAGCCCTGCCATGCAGTCCAGCCGATGGCACCAGTTGTTACTTCCTGCGGCGCAGTCCACCGGCTGAGCTGGGACGGGACAGACATCATGAGACCATGAAAATGGGCACAGAATAAACACATCGAAATACATATTCACAGATGGCCACACCGCATAGGTCAGTCATAATGAACGTGGAACAAGGTTCTGCACCTCTGGCACCGCTCCAACATGATTGCATTCAGCCACACCTCCAAGTTTTTGCAGGTGATTCTTTGGCTCGGAGGCCGTCGCTTATTAGGTTGGAGGCCATCGCTACTAGGGTGGAGGCCATCGCTATTA